TTGTGTTGTGGTCCACGATGCTTTGCAAAGTGGATGATCAAGTTTCATCATTGGCCTTTTAACTCTTCCAAGGAATATTGGAGAAATACATCATCAGAAGACACGCTTGGGTCAGCAAATTGACAACACATGCGAAAAAATATCTTTTGACGACGGTGGAGATGAAGAAGAAGAGTCTTTGGTAGAACCTTTACGTCCGATGTTTAATATCAAGTTCCAAGGGAACTGTTCATAGCTTTTCTTTTGACATGTAACATGAATCCAAAACTATTATTTGAAAGATTGATTTCTTTCTTTCTTTAGTTAGTGTTCAAATTGTCTGATTTGTAAATCAAAATTCTGGCTCAAACATGACAACATCATGGAGTACACTCACACAATGACAAGGCATGCTCTTAGGAAGTTTCTAATTTTTATTTCATACACACTTAGGAAATTAACCTAAGGGGTTAATGTGCAGCATTGTCAGAAAGATGGGTTACGGCGAAGGATTTAAATGGGTTTCTCAATATATCGACTAGTCTCAAAACTGTGCTTTTTTTTTTTTTTTTTTGTTCTTCGTCTTCACAAAAACGCAAAATCAATCGGAATCTGTAGTGTGAATTAACGATTCTCTAGATTTTGGAAACGTATCTTGATTCCCACAAGTAAAGACGACTTCTTCCTCTCAGATCTAATAGAATCAACAAATTATTTTTAACAATCACAATCATATGTGAAAACGAAATCATGTTCTTGTAGCTAATGATAAACAATTCGTTCCTTCATTTTTGCAGCTAATGATAAACAAGCTACTGATAACAATCGAATCGCCTACGATTCATCACTCTGCAACTTGAAAAAGAAATCATCTTTAGTCATATTGGTAAACAAACTTCAATCGGAAAAAAAGGAGAGATTTTTGGTATTAAAAATTGAAATTCTAACTTTCACCGATGAAGAAGATCCGAGTTCAAATATCTCTCCTTTATGTTATCGGAGATGTGAGAGGAAGAAGTCGACCGGTGAAGAAGACGAAGAACACAAAAAACAAAAATTAAAAAAAAAAAAACTACAGAGTGTAGTGTCGAACCCGGCTCTTGAAGTTTTCAAAACCCAAACGCTGCCACTAGACCACATCAACTATCATGTTCTGTATAGTAAACAGATGATATATATTTATATGAAAACGTGGGTTTAAATTTCGTTGATGTGCTCAGATTCGAACCACCGACAAAGTGTTTAACCTACAAACAACGAAGAAGATGCGTGTACATTGAAATTGTAATTACGGTTAAAGTGGGAGGGTATTTGTGGAATTACCAATTTTTACGCTGTGACAGATTTAACATCATACATAACTCTATCAAAATAAATCTATCACGACTATCTAAAAAAACTTTTTTGCAGGATTGCGGTTTTAACGATTTTAAGTCTACCCCCACATTGTCTCGCTAACTCTGTCACCAAGCAGTCGTAAACCCACAACTCTATCGTCACATACATAAAGTCTTCCACCACTGTTCTGACACACTGTGACACGCTAGTAATTAATTTGTTGAATAAGTCTGTCCGATTATATAATAACTCTATCATAATCAATTACTCTACTTTCACTAGTCACAGACTTTGTTCCTAAATTCAAACTCTACCACATTACTCTGTTTTTCTTAACAACTCTATCATAACCTTTGTTAACTCTACCAATTAAATCTATTTCCTAAATTACTCTGTCATAACTGCATGTAAGTTTGCCAAACATATCTATTTTACATATTACTCTGTCACCACTATAAACAACTCTACCAAATAAATCAACCAAAAATACAAAAATCTATCAATCTTACTTCAATCTACTGTGTCTGAACCATAGATTTATCTAACATATCTGACAACTCTGTCATAGTTTATTAAAACTACCATGAAAATCTGTCACCTACAAAAATCTGTCGCTACATCCAAAAATCAACCCTTTTTCCCGCCACTTGCTTTTTCCCAACTCCTTCCTTTTTCATGGCATATCTGTAATTAATTCTAATGGCATTTCTGTTATTTTTTTTTTCGCATAACACATACTTGAGGGCAAGATTGCCTTTAAAAAAAGATAATACTATTGCTCCAAAACCATGTCATTTTAGTTATTTTTCAACTTAACTAGGCCTTTTGAGTAACTCTCCCATGTATTAATATAATCAAAAGTTCTCCATATATGTAGTCATGTAGAGATAATAATATGTACATAATTAAAGTCTCACAACTTGCATATTCCAAAATACTAAGACGAAATCATGTGAAAAAGACATTTTCCCTTGAGCGTGAAGATATCGAAAAGAGAACGCATAATTCTCAAATGTGATTTCGAAGCAACGTACGTGTTTCACTTATGAAAAGTTTCACTACCTCTTCGGAAAATACTAAATTTGCACGTTTGATTAATATCTATGATCAAGGACCATAACATCATGTAAGTGTAAATTAAATGTCTAGACTACTATGTTTTGTTTAGTAGTCTCTCAATTTTAAAGACTTATTGCTTTTATGTAGGTTTCAGTACTGGTAGATATTGTTGAGACAATCATCTAATTAGATCATTCTAGAATTTTGCCTTAATTATAAGTTTTTTTTTGTTCCTTTTACAACAAAATGTTCAATTCAAACAAAAATAATAAGTAAGAGCACGAGGTTCTTTATTCTCTCATGTTAGCATATCGGCTCCGGATTGAATTTCTGTAGAGTAAAGCTTCCGCCCGATAACTTAATAAAATGGTGTTTGGCGAAACAAAAAGACAAAAATAATAATATCATATATGTTCCGATTATGATTTATATCTTAGAGCTTTAGAACGCTTGCCTTCCCATAATGGGCATTTTAGCACATATCGTAAAGTTCAGAGCCAAATGTCTATACGTCGTCGAGTAAATAACTCTCCTTTATAGAACAGCTTTTTTTGTTCCAAGTGAAGAATTGAAAAAAAAAAAATCAGGTTCAACCTTCTTTTCAAAATGGATTTAGGATTCACCTCTACATCAACCCCACTTAGTTATGGTAACGGTGGGGCATTTTAGCTTAACCATATCCATATCTCTGTCATAGCATATGATATGACTTACAACTATAAACTCCAAATTCACGTGCATAATATAAACAACACTTTATGACATGTGGACTCACAATCTCCATATTCACGTGCATTAACGTACACACATGACATGAGCATAGTTTCCATATAGTACGTTTGGAAAATATGACAGCAAATATTATTGGATCAGCGAATCCTGCAAATTGCATCTACCAAGAAGACTATTCATCAGTTCTACATTAGAGATACCGGATCGGATCAATCGTGTGCCCATTTCAAGCCCAATTCACTCTTCTTTTGTTAGATTTTCGTTTTTAATAATTGAAAACAATTAAAAAAAAACAGTAAACAAATTCATTTATACAACGTATTAGAAAATAATTTTGACAATGAGGCCTAAAAACATTTATAAACTCAAGATGTCGCATACATGTATTTTGTGTCCTTAGACATGGGTTTCATGCCTTTGGTCTAAGGGCCGGTTATGCTTATGTATCTTACAAAAGATTGAGGACAACCGAAATCAAGAATCATCTGTCTCATCTTCCATTCACAACTTTGATTTTCATCTAGCACGACCCTTGCTTAGAGGCAGGACCGGTCTTGAAAATTAGAGGGCCAAAGCTAAAAATAAAAATTTTGAGGTTATTTTCAAAAACTTAGGAAATTGGGGGCCTTTTGTTGTAAATGAACATAAAATCGGGGGCCTATTTGTAAATACGTTTCTGCTGTAATTTTTTTTTTAAAAAATGGGGCCAATACCAATGTTTCATTGGGCTCTGCTCAGGGCCGACCCTGCTTAGAGAAAGTAGAACATGTGCTTTAGGCCATATATTATGATCAAATTTTGAGGACTGCATTAGCAAAATATACTTTAGTCTGGCTTGTTTCTGTGGTCATAGGTGATGCGTTAGTGGGAGGGTTTCTTTCACAATGGAAAGGGGATTGAAGACTACGTGAGGGCAGGATGCTACGCTTCGAATGTAGTGATCTAGAGATCTTGCTGCACTAACCCCAATAAACCAGACTTTCACTAAAACTAAAAATCTGACAATTAATCATTATTCTAGTTTTATCTCCGAATGAGATTTTTGGTGATTTATTACATTATACGACCCAAAAACACTATTGTTGTTTGATTATCACCTTTTGAGGCTTTGAGCTATTATTGAGTGTGTTTTTGGCTTGAATTTATCAATATTCTATAATTTTATAATATTATTACTATAAAAAAAGTTAAAAATAAAATAATAATAATACTTTAGTCTAGTTAGTATCTTTCATTTTTCGTAGAGCATCATTTATGGGAGTTCAATCCCTACTCTTTCCAATACTATCATGTTTGAAAGGAACGCAATATGAGTTGATATCAACATGTATCACTACCTCCTAGTTAGAGTTGGCCCTAAGCTTAAGTAATGTAAATTTGGACTTGCTGTTTTATTCAGAATAAATATTTTATTTGGTTCTAATTTTTTTTTTTGTTTTCGTTGTAGGCTTGTAGCCTTCACATTTTTATGGCCGGTTTATTCATAGTTCTAACCATCTAATTCGTACAATCGATAAGGAAATTCGGGATTGAATGAGTTCTATCATGTACAAAATTCACCAAAACTTTGTCTTATCGTGTCAAATGGTTAGTCTTATGGATATGAATATATGATGCTAATTTGATGTTTTAAGTTATTTTAAATTTTTACAAAAAAATTGTTCTTACAGTATTTTTCCCACAGTTGTATTGTAACTCATTTTTTTATCAATAAATTTGACCAAAGAAAAAAAAAAACTTGACCAAAGAAAAAAAGGTTATTTGTTTTTTCTAATTTTATTCTATAATTGGATCGGATCTCACGGATTCGGATCCCAGTTTGTACCCGTTTCAGTTTCACAAACTCTGTCATCGTTTATAAATCTAAAAAAGGATTCCCTCTTTCTCTTTCTTGACCGACTTTCTCTCTCTAAAAAAAATGTCTCGATTGCTCTCCAAAACCCTAATTCCCCACGGAAGATTCTTCCTCCGTCGTTTCAACGAGCCAACGATTACGACGAAGACAACCCCACCAAACCTCGTCTGTTTCAGCCGCCGCTTTTCATCAACCCCACAAGTCATCGAGCTTGAAATCGATTCTAAAACCGAAGCCGAAGCAGCGATTCTCAAGAAGCTTAACGAATTCGTACGAAGGATCATCGTTCATAATTCGACTCCAGATTGGCTTCCTTTTGCACCTGGCTCTTCCTTTTGGGTACCTCCTCATCAGATTACGGCTACGAAGATCGCTAATTTGGTCGACAAGGTGACTAATCCGTTGACGGAGGAAGAATCTCTTTCTCTTTCGTCTCCTTATGGTTGGCCTTGTTCCTCTTTCTTCATTCCTCCTCCAGGTATTGCTCTAGATGATGGGTCTTGCTTGTTTTTTGGTTCTGCTTGTTAAAAAAGATTCCTTTTGAGAGTTTCCTCAATGTCTCTCTATAAACCCAATTTATGAGAAAAAAGTTGGGATTTTTTGGGGTAATTACGTTTAGATTGTGAAGGGGCTTTACTTAGGGAAGAGAATGTGTGAACATATAATATACTAGAGCTGATTTTGTTTTGATGTTATGCGTCTCGTCTTCGAAAGATATGATTCAGTTGTTGTTAGGGTTATTTGCTGATATCTGTGGTGATATGTTTGTATATGTTAAGATGATTCAACATCTACACAAGAGGTAGAAGGTAGCGTGGAGTTGAAAATCCCGGGGAATGAGATGCTGGAAATCAAGCTAGCACATTATCCGGATCCTATTTACTCTTTTAAACCTGAAGACGGTGAGGAGTGACTCGATACCTTTCCAGCACGAGAGAGCAGGTAATAACAATGTAAAGAATTTTTTTTCAAGTTGATTATAGATTTGAGGTAGCAATGAAATGTGTTCTTGACAAAATACCTTGCATATACAGGACAAGCTTGGAAAAACAGATGATGATCGATGATACTCAAGCAGTTTGTACATACAGTTGAAAACCATGGAGTTATATGATCTTTGGGTGATTTTATACCTTGTTTACTATGTTTTATAATTGACTTAATATAATTAGCTTGGGGGCTTCTTCCACTTGCCAGATTTTATGGTGATGCTAACTTGACAATTCCAACAGCCTTTCGAAAACCTATATGAGCATTTTCGCCTGTTATGATTGTTTTTCACCCAATCTTGTTTATTGCTCTGATTGAGGTTAGTAGAAAAGATAGGGTTGCACACTCATGCTTTGATTAATTGCATATAGGGTATGGTTCATTGCAACTATTACACTGAGAAGACCTTGCTCGCCAAGTTCCGATGAAGGAGGACTCGCCCGAGTTTGTGATCATGAACCGTATCTTTTCACAGAGACTTTTCTTATGGGCAGCGCGGTACTGGTTTGTTGTTATAGATAGTTGAATTTGATACTTCTGCATAAGTTAGAAACTATAGTTTTGACCAATTGAAATTAGGGATCAAAGAATAGTTAAGGTTTGGACAAACAGTCATTTATCTCCATCACATCCTCTCAAGACTCTCAACGATGAAATGTTTCTTTTGAAACACAGATGAACAAACTAATGTTATGGTTAACAAGTACTCTTGCCATTATGGAAATCTAAAGTTATGTAGTACGGTTCGAATTTGGTCTTATCTTTTTCCTTTCGCACATGAACGTTCGACTCTTCCTCCTTTAACACGGTTCATGATTTACACGACCTTCGCATCATTTTCCTTACAACATGAGAAACATTTGACACTATTTAACGTTCACATTAGATCTTCCCGGCTCCTGCTAATCCTATAGTCAAATTTAATTACCTCATCCTCTGTTTTTCAATTGTAACAGCTTCTAATCCTTGATCTGGCTTAACTATCACGTTTTGAGCTATTGACCAACGAAATCTTCCACCAGATGAAGTAAAGATCGATTAACGCCAGCACAGAAAAGTGGAAACAGAGGGATTAAAGCCTCTAACATTTAAATTTCTCACTTTGCTCTGTTTAACTCTGTTATGCTCTGTTCTCACTTCCATATCTCTGTTTTTGGCATTAAACGTTTTATAACTGAAGGAACTTATCTTTCAGTGGATTCACTGGGCAGATTGATCCAGCCTTTTCTAATCTTATATCCATAAACAAAACGTTAACGCTTTTGGCTAAATAAAATCATTTTAGTTGATTTATTTTCTCTTGTTTAGAATGACAATTCTTCTCTTTGACAACTATTTGCAAGTAACATAAATGCTTTTATTGAGATACAAAAGAAATAGAATATAAATTTATTCTTCGAAATTCACTACCTTGCTCGAGGAACCATTTCGGTGTCTAGATTCACTGTAAGCATTTTCGTCGAGTCATCGTAGTTTTCCTGATCAGTCACTCTACCATAAACAATCTGTTTCAGCTCCATAACGACCTGACTCATCGTTGGCCTCTGAGCAGAAGTGTGCTCGGTACAAGCCAGAGCTATTTCTGACATTTTCCAAGCCGAACCAACGTCATATCTCTCTCTTAGACGCTGATCCACGATTCCTCTAATGTCTCCGTTGGCTAACATTAACCTGACGTGATCACTTATATGCCTCTTCTCTGTTTTTGAGCTTGCAATAGCAGGTTGGCCTGTAATCACTTCAAGAAGAACAACCCCAAGACTATAAACATCACTCTTCTCGTTCATTTGGCGCGTCGAATAGTACCTGTAATTTCAATAATATGTGTCATCCTAGATGAAACATTTGTATTCTTTAGTTTGAAGAAATAGTAATTAATAAGGTTTGTATTACTTACTCGGGGTCAAGGTAACCGATGGATCCAGCGACAACTGTTGAAATCTGACCGCTTCCTTCAACAGAGAAGCTTCTAGATAAACCGAAGTCCGCCATCTTCGCTTGGAGCTTCTCGTTTAGTAAGATGTTTGTTGGCTTCACATCTCTGTGAACTATAGGAGGCTTACAACCATTGTGAAGATAATCTAGTCCTGAATTTGTTTAATAGACAGGAAAAGCACACATCAATGATCGATTTTCGCATGTTAGATTTAGCTAATCGTCATTTCAAGATGGACTTCCCAAACCTTGCGCTGCATCTAATGATATCTTCAACCTCTCTTCCCAGCTCAAGATAAATGACCTTTTTCCTTCACAAAATGAAACAAAACCAAAGTCCCTCTCTCAGTACATTATGAACGTAAGATTAGTGAACAAATTAAAGTAGAATTATTAATGAACCTGCCAAGTAGTCTCCTAAGTTCTCATTAGCCATATACTCGTAGATAAGCGCCACATGTTTTCCTTCGTTGCAATATCCGACAAGAGAAGTCAGGTTCGTGTGATGAACTCTCATGAGAAGGTCAACCTGAGATTTTCAATTGAATTAGTTAGGTGAAAAAGTTTGCAAATTATAAAGTTCGTTAGATGTTATTAGTAGTCGTCCCTTTCAACGATGTGTTCTTTTAGTAATATAAATATATTGGTCAAACTAGTAATTAAGTCAATGAATATATATTCGTAGTTTCATTGTCATCTCCAAAATAATCAAAGAGATATATATTCTTCAAATACTTATTTAACAAAAGAGAGTATTCTGAAATTATTGTATGTTCATACAATTTTGGACGTAACTTTTTTTTGAATTTCGGTTTGTGAAGATCACTTTACAATACTAGCTTGGTAACACAAATCTAGAAGGTAAAGTTCTCCAACATGCAATTACTAACCAAATGGTTGTAGTTTCATTAAGATCAAAGATCGATTTTTTGTTGGATGTCAAATTTGGTCACTATGGAATTCACATGGCGAATACAGTCATACAGATTGCGGTATGATCCTAAGATCGAATGACCGAAAGAAAATGAAATAACTAGGAATACTGCTCTAATAAACGTCCCTAATACTTTTCAACATTTCGAATCTTTTTTTTTTCCTTTTTTGATAAAGGGCTTCTAATTAAAAACAAAATAACTAATACATTGCTTGACTTTTTATGGTCATACAGTTTTGATAAAGTAATTTAGAATACACACTCCAAACATATAACTGAGAGAAAGAGGAACCAAGTGAAAAAAACTAGCTCACAATTAGTGTTTCCACGACTTCTACAACCCACAACGTCCACAAACACTTACATTAATTCATATATCATGATCCTTTGGAGACGGTTTGGCGGGTCTATCTCGTAAAGTCATATGAATAGATGGAGCAAATCAGATTCTGCTCAGAGATTGGAAATGAGTCTCCTTGCTCCAACATTTCGAATCATCCAGACAGTTTTCAAAAGTTTGGGACGGATTGGATTGTTTTGTGGATTTGGTAAGCGTTGACATGATCTTCTGGTCCGATAATTCTAACAAAGCTGCATGAACCTTATGTGAAAAGATGCTTAGTTGACTAATCATATAAATGAAAGTCTCGTATTGACCATATGATTTATTCGAATCCGTATGCAACAAGTTGAAGCTTTCCCTTTCTGAAAAAACTTCCAAGAAAACTGCATGAACCTAATCTGAAAAGATGCAAGTTGAAAATTAACAGAAATTAGTTTGACAAAAAAAAACAAAGAAACTTCTTCTCTCATAAGGTGTCATAGAAGAAGAAGCACCGAATCCATATATATGATATTCCTTACACATATACTAACAAAAACTGTAAAGTCCTTCAATTATTAAACATGTACGAATATAAATTGTAAAGTCCTCCAATTATCAGACATTAAATGTAAAGGACCAATAGTGTATATACACTATAATAAGAATCCGATTTAAACACTTGTGTCTGATTAAAGAGTCATTGAGCTACAATGTAAAGAAGACTTGCAACTAATTCAATCATAAAAACCAAAAATTTCTTTGTTTAGTTAATCAAACCTTCAAAACACATAAAGGATGAAGTCACAAATTAATGTTGTTGTGCAGTGGATCCACCCAAGCAGCGCGGTCAGACAAATATGTACATGTAGGGGGATGAGAGCTGTTCTCATCACCGAGGGACTAGTATACGCCTAGTTGCCCATTGTGTGATGGATATATTCTGTTCCTCTCCTTTGCTGAGAGACCAGCTCTTGTAAAAGAGCCAGGTTCACTTGCAAATACTGTCAAGCCACCAACTTTTCTCTTCTCTTCCCATACCTTGCGTTTAATATTTAGTTTGAAAACCCAAGGGTTTTTGTTGCGGCGTAAAGTCATAACAAAAATGTCTCCTTCATTCTCCATCATGAACCCTGACTTAGCGGGACATGGTTTCACTGGAAGAATATTCCAAGTTTTACTAGACGGGTCGAAAACCCCGATGTAACCGCAGTCACTAAGCCAATAGAACATACCATTTGAGAAGACACATTGGGTCCATTCACCAGGCCGCCAAGCAGAAATCACAAAACATGGGGGGTAGCCAATACTTGCACTTCTTTTATAGTACAATGAGATCACCACACAACTACTTGATGTAGGAGCGGCTGAGAAAGCCAAGTAATCATGTGGGCCCTCGGGTAAGTGTAAGGGTAAGTAGATGTGCTCCCGAGTAAATGGATTAAGTAAGAATAAATCTAATACCGATATTAAGACTTCAAATTACATATATGACCAATTAAAGCATAAATGTAATTTTCCATGTATAAGTTATTCTTAAATATCCCAGAAGTGATGGCGTGGAGTGGGGAAACCCTAAATCGCGTCCATCAGCCGCTCATTTGTAATAGCGAAGATGGAAGTGGAGAAGGTTGAGCGTGAGATTCCCGGGTCCGAGGTTATGGAAATACAGAAGAACTGCGATGTAATCTATTCTTTCTATCTTCTTTACCTAATTGTTTTTTTGTCAAATCGCTTCCTAATATATTTGAGCTAATAACTAACCGAGCTAATATTCTGTACATTTTCGCCAAAAACCATCCCCACAATCAGCCCCTCGCTTCCGATGAGGAAAGTGAGAAGGTTGTAGTGCTTAACGTTCGACCTGGCGATAATAAACCACTGTACAAGTGGAGATGCAGATGCGATGTAATATATATTCTTTCTATCTACCGTACCTAATTGTTGATTATATTTGAGCTAATAAGTAACGGGTCTTACTTAGGATAACCAAATCTCCCGAGGTATTCAGTTCGTTTTCGCCAATGATCATCCGCACAATCCTCGTCGTTTAATAGTCCTCCTTTATGCTAAGTTGGGCCTTCATCGTTACAATTTTGTCCATGTAAATAATAATTCTCTTTAATTTCTTTCTTATTAATTACCTATATCTATGTTGCTTTAATCTGTTTCTTTCTTTTTCTATTAATCAATTACTCAATTTTAGGGGAAAGACTTGAAGCTCAGTAGCATATCTACATACCTCAAGTCCTCGGGTGTTACTAGTGCTACCTCTTACCGCATAACTTTCGATGCCAAGGATCCTCGAGAGACCAGTGGTTCCCTTCAAACTTTTCAAACTCATGTTAATGAAAGAAGTTATGGCAGCTTCCTTTTAACGTGCACTATTGCTTGTCCTTTAGGTAAATATTTTTAGATATTATTCGTATAGTTTTCAAACCAACAACAAGTTATCAATCTTCGAGTTACTCTTTGTATAGGTGAAGTTACCATAGGTGGTGAAACCAATAGAGTCAGCTTGCATTCTTTCATGCCTGAGTTGCCGCCAGTGAATCCTTTCCAAGATGATACAGACCGATTTTACGTGGTAAATCCTTGATTTTAAGACCACTTGAGTTTTTCCTTATTATCGAACAACAACATATTTATGGTTTTTTTTTTTTTCTTTTGGCAGCTGAAGAAATCAGAGGTTAAAAAAAATGACTGGATTCGTCTATATTTGGAACTTGCAGTTGCCACAACTAAAAGGGACCATATAAAACACGGTCTGGCCAATTTGAAGATTCTGAGAGTGGCTCTGGACACTACACCAGACCCATGTCGTCCCTCTGAAAAGGGACTTGATGACGCCTATGATGCAATTTTCTACATTAGGTACACAGACTCATGCAAGGCTCGGGCTGGTGAAGATGGCGATCGCGTTGCTATAGTCAGAAAATTCTGGGATGAGAAGCCGGAAGTCTTTAGAATCGTGGGTCGCACTGAGAGCTTCAGATCGTTAGGGAACGGTGAATCCACCACGTCTCGGGAGACAGTTTTGCCTGGCTCGAAGGACATCGATTCGACGGGACAATCTGACATGATGGTTTCTACGTAAATGGTGGATCGTATTCAGAGCTCACAAACCTTAAAAGCTGGCTCGTCGTCTGCACAAGACTAGACCCATTTGAATATGTGGATCAGAATAATAAACCCATCGTTGGTTGACCAAGTTATTTGGTGCCTTAGGATTGTTATATGGATTTCTTTTTGTGAAACTTTGTGTAGTTTTTAAGTGTGTTCTGCTTGAATACTTTAACAATGGTCGACTAAGTTATTTGGTGCGTTCGTATTGTTAAGTGGATTGCTTTTTGTGTTGGACTTTAACTTAGGGAAGGATTTGGAGACATTCTTCTTGCTTTCAGAATGCAAACTAAGACACAAAGATAGATTTCTAACATTACCTAGAAATCAGAACTGCATAACAGAAACACGAGGGTCTTTTCAAAATTCAATTACACATAAACTTTAGTGGACGTTGATTCCCTTTAATAACTTTTTCTAGTACCACGTAACATTAAACACATCAGTTATAACCATAGTGAGCCCGTCACATTTTTATGTCTTTTCTCTAAAGGTATTTGCATATAATTAAGCTTTAGGATCTCCAGGTCTGTCCTTGAAGTTCTTATACCAAGCTATGAAAAGTAGTTTTCTATAAACTAGCAAGTCACACATGATCATAATGTTATAGTGTATAGCCATGCCTACTTAACCATTTTCGCTCTCTTCGTGCCAATTTTTTGTAAAACTGTATTTCAGTTAATACAACTTGATAGTATTGTAACATTGGCCGCTTCGTAACAAGAATGCATATTATACCACTACAAGAAATATCTACATTATTAGCAAGAGAAAAGAGCTATTATATGGCATCGATAGCGTTTTCATAAACGCTGTCTTATGCCCCTGTTATGGTAGACCCCAACATACGATAGCGTTTTTAGAATGCTATGGTAGACCCCCACTTACGATAGCATTTTTGTATTATAGCATTAGTCGAATGCTATAATATACTTTATTATTACACACGTTTAGTGCTGTTTATATAATGTCGTAACATTTTTTCGTTATATAAATTTAATTTCTTGTATGAAATAAATTTTATATTGGAACCCAATTTTATAAAATTTACTTAATTGGACATATATATATATATATATATATATAACTTTTATATTTTATAAATCACCAACAAGTAATATTACATTAACCAATTAGCCAAACAAGTCTTACATAACATCATACCAAGTCTTATACTAACATCATAAGTCTTCAACAAAATAGGACTAACATCATATGGACAGAGACAAACTTCGATCTCTTCAATTTCTTCTCCTCTATCTTTTTGGCCTCCTCATCAAAAGCAGAACACATAAAACTTCGATCTGAACAATTGTTCCTATTAGCACTCCCGTCGATAGGCTACATGAAACAAAAGAACAAGGAGACAAAAGACACCATCTTAGAACACTTATTCACTAAGATGAAAAAAGAAATCGACACATGGGAATACATCTACCAAACATACACATATGTATACTACATACTTGGTTAGCTTGGACATAATCATGATAGCCTTCAAATTAAGCTAATATGGAGTTTAAAACTTGAAGAAACGTCTTACCACTTAAGCTCTTGCAACCACATGCAAGCTCCTTCTCCTAAACAATTTATTCTGCAAAACCAAAAACCAAATTCATATTTCGAGAAGAAGGTTGATTTGCAGATGAGAAGAGTAAGTATCTTAGTAAGTATCACCAACAAACAATTTATTCTGAAAAAATTAGTGTAATGAAGTCAAGAATCAGAGTATACTGCAATAAAAATACAATCCCAATAGAACATAAACAGAAGAATAAATAAAGAGAGATTAAGAACATACATACCCATTCCAAGGGCAGAGAGTTCGACATCATTATACCGAAACAGTATTCTACATAATCATTAAATACAATGGTATATGACAAGTTGAACTTTCAAAATAACATGAATACACTTGAACGAAAAACAACATAACATAAAATAAACTAAACTGTTTTCTTGAAAAGATAAATTTAGGGTTTAGCAGAAAGTTGGGAGAATAAGAGGATATTTTAGGCAGATTGACATTTAAGCAGCCAAGACATCCTCAAACTTGAGTTCTCCAACAGCAAGAAGAGGAATCTGAGTCTGACCTAATCAGTGGAGTTGGCTCAGCATCTTGGGAGTTACAGTTTCAACACCATCCTCTGAGTCTGACCTAATCAGTGGAGTAGGCTCAGCATCATCAGCTCTATTGTCACTTCCTGTGCCTGGCTCATTTGGGTAGACTACTACTGATTATGAAGCTGGTTGATGATCATGTAGCTTTGGTGATTCTGAATGATGATCGATCACTCTCTTGCGATAACGGCGGATTTTGTTTCTTCCAGGTTCAACGTTCTTTGAAGATGGTTGCCAGTTTATCAACGTGAGGAATATGTCTCCTTTTGAACACTCCAGCTTTTTTATTTACCTGTAAGTCGACAACAAAAAAATATAATTACTTACCAATTGATATTATAAAAAATCTAAGTAACGTTTTCTTTACCTTCAAGTATTTATCCCAGTCCTCTTCGGTTGCACCAAACTTGCGAGTATTGGCATCCCACTTCATGATGGGAGATGCAATAGTTTTACACCAGTTCTTCCAAGATTTCCTGGTAAGATCAAAGTGGTTTTCGAGCTGCTTATGAGTGTATCTAAGTCCTGTGATCCGATTGATTTCTTCAAGAATCATTTTCCAAGCTTCCTTTGTATAAATTTGGTTACGTCTGATTGGTCTGTTTCCTTTTAAATACTCTTGGAAACACACGTCCACAAAAATCGCATGTGAGGATGGTGGCCACTTAAACCGACGAAGAATTGCGATATCAGACGCGCTTAGCTTTGATTTATATCCAGTATCATTTACTTCATCACGATGCTCACATAATTGCTTCATTTTGCTACCTGAAGATGTACCTTCACCATCTAAGTTAATACCAGCAAAGATGATCTCTAGTTTCTTGAGGAACAAGGGAGGATTACACCGATACTGTCCAGCCTCAGGATTCATCTGTGACAAATCCAGTCAAGTACTTTTTATTACATATATATATATATATATTAGCCTTCATAAACAATCAAAATATCAACACACAAAAAGACTTTGTTTGTACCTCTAAATAGTTGGCCCATTCTTGATCACTGGCACCAAACGTGTTTGTGTGGGGATCCCATTTCATATATATGCATTGAACAAGTCTACACCAAATCTCCCACTGCTTGATCATTGTATCCCAATGATTCATAAGCTGGTCTATGGTAAACCTCACACCCTTCATTTCTTTAAAAGCTTCCAATATAGGTTGCATTTCAGGTTGATTCCCCAACATCTTTTGCTCCACGCATAAGTCCACAAATACTTGGTCGTGTTCAGGTTCCCATGCGCCTTTCGACGTCATAGTTCTTTACTATATGCATAGTTAGATAAGTAAAGACGACGACAACAACAACAACAACAACAACAACAAAAAAAAATCCAAATTATCAATATCATATTAAAGGCTTAATTTGACCGGTAATTCCGTTAAAATCGCGGGAAAAGTAGAAGAAAAAAATGGCGCGAATCGTGATATGATTGGTTAAAATCCCACAGGATCGCGAAATGATTTTGTCATTCAGTGGTTTGTCAAAACATAAAACAATAACCAAATCTATACACAATATATATCCACATATGTATGGGAATTTTTACATCATGGCTGAATCTAGAACTAACCTTAGGACTTATCAATTCCAAAATTTTACTTCATGGCTAAAATTTTGGCATTTGCACCGCTAGAGATGGGGATTTCTTGTTTTTTTTTTTTTTTTTTTTTTTGAGATTATTATGCTTCTAAGGGCCCTATTTTATACCGGTTGGAGCCTGTTCTCTTATCGGAAACTTTTTAATTTGCATTGACCGATTTTAATTTTTTGCAAGAAAAAAATTAACTTATCTTCCTTTTTACTAATTGAGAAGATAGTCAAATTATAGAGTTTAATTAGGAGTTACCATAAGTTTACTAGCGAGATTAGATTTTTTTTTGTTATTGTTGTATATGGAAGAAAGATACAAAATCATTGAATAGGTATATGAGAGATCTTTTTCTTGTGTTAGTCTAGTGAGACCATAATATTTAGCCTATGACTTGATTACCTGAGAGCTAAGAGGTTATAAAAGGAAGTTAGGCAGAATTAGTTGGGCATGCCAGACTTGGCTAGTGTTTTGGTTGAACATTGGTGGGTCGAGAGGTTGAATAATTCTTTTGTGAATCAAAGTCTCTCTATGTGTAGTTCTTTGGCAGATTGAATAAAGAACAGGTTTACTGGTTTTGATTTCTATCAGCGTAATGATTGTTTCCATTTAGCAAGAAGAGAAGGCCAAGGACTTGTTCCTAATATACTCTCAAGTAGCAACAAACCTTCTCATCAAAGGCAAGTCGTTAAAAGGAGATTTCAGATCGCGTTTCAGCTCGACGTTTTCGTGATACTCAAGCTCGCTGCTCTTGTCTTTTTGTTCAACTAAATGATGATGTTGTCATATATAACCATTTATCTTATTCAGAAGCTATTGCTATAACATAGCAGAAGCTATATATTGTCATATAATATGATGTGCCGAAGGACAAGGTAGGGAAGAAAACGATGCAAAGAACCGAGCTGATGCTAACGAGAATGAGAACGTAGTTGGTCCTGAAGCAGTGAACCAATGGTGGGAATAGTGAAGGAGATTCAGATTATTGTTTTTTGATTCATAGCTTCACTATTTCCTGGTTCCACAACATAGATTAGATGTATCTTCAAAATTCTTTTTTAACACAAGAACTTGAACAAGTATTTCCTTGTAATCTAGGCTTTTTTCAATGTGAATCAATGTACAAAAATATTTAAGAAATTGAGCTCAATTTCTTTCATGAGTTTTCCTCTACATATTTAGAACTAACCATACTTCAATTGAAAACAGAAACTTTTCTCTTTTTTCTTTTACTCTAAAACTAAAATATTACATCAATGATTTGATCACAAGCAACTGGAGGATAGCAGCCTTAAACCTCAGGTCTGTCACTTCCTTGGATATATATCTCATTAGGGTTTCCTTGAATTGACTTCATTCGAATGTGTTTGTTCTTTCCACATGAACAGAGTCTATTATTATAATGACTAGCTAACTAAACCGTAGTCCTATGTTCGGACACGACTCCATGTCTTTCTTGTAACTATTCAAAACTAAACCTCAAGTGCTCATCATCAACGACTCCAAAGCCCCTTCACTAGAGGCTGCTCCACGCAAACGACGTCGTTTAAGTTTAGGCTGCTCCACACAAACGACATTGTTTAAGCTTAGGCTGCTCCACACAAACAACGTCGTTTAAGCTTATCTTTCTTCTCCCCTTTCATCACTTCCGAATTGATCTCCATCAATGGTAGAGCTCAATCGATTTATTAAGGTACAGTTTTGTCTCTGAGCTCTCTGTAGATAAGATGTCAACGAGCTCTCTACTGAGCATATCAGCTGACTATTTCCTCTGTTTTCTGGTTTCTTGTACTACAAGAAACCTGCTTCTGCTTCATCCTCTCTTTCCACTTGTGTTAGCTCAGAGTATGAAGAACTTGGACAGCCTCTGTTCAACATTAAAGCTAATCTGGAGAGCTCCGTTCTTGCTAAGTCCATGCGGAGAGTGGAAGATGAGTAGCCAGCGAGAGTTTGTTGAGCTTTCATTAAAACGGACTGTAAATACTTTCCTTGTTTAATTTTGTAGTGCCTTTCTCTGGAGTCAAAAGTGGCTTGGGACTGGTTTGTACACCAAAGAGAGCAGGAGGCTTGGGAGTTGGGCCTTAGAAGACTTCACCCTTCTAATACAGTCTTTGGCCTCAAGCTTATTTGGTTGTTATTTGCTGGGAGTACTAGGTCACTATGGGTCTCTTGGATTGAAAAGGTTATTTTTTGGGGAAGGCTCTTTTGGAAAGAGCGTTTCCAGCAATCAGGCTGCCAAGTATCTGTTGAGAATTAGTGAAGAAGAACAAAACATTTGAAGAAGCTTGAGGAGGAAGAAACGACAGCTCAGCATTGCCAACACACACACTTGCAGGACCACAAGGATCAAGAGTAGCCGTTTGTTTGCGCTCATAAAAGCAAAAGCAACGAGGTAAAGCAACCCTTGTCCTTTTGTGAGGTTGCTGGTTTTGGCTAAGATCAAATTTGAATTGGTATACTGCCAAAGACCAAAAAGTCACCTTCGTGGAAGCTGCCTAAGGAAACTAGGGTTTAGAGTGTGTGTGTATATAAGCTGCGTTTAAGGAGAAGAGAGATAGACAAGAAGGACAGAAACAGAGAGAACTTCATTCATAGCATAAACTTGTATGAGAGTTCTTGGGGAAACAGTTGAGTGAAAGAGAGATAACCGAGAGAGCTTTGTAAAGGGCTTTGGGGTGAGAGATCTCTTGTAAAACTCATTGATATAGTGGATTCCGGGAGAAAGTTCCCGGCCCAGACGTAGCACCGTTGGTGTGAACTGGGTTAACAAAGTTCTTGTGTGCTCTGTTCTTAAACTCTGTTGTAACAGACTACTTGGTTCTTTACTCATCAAAGTTAGCATTTTGAGAACACTCAATCTCTTATACACTTAAGACCTTGGTGTGTTGTTGATTCAAGCCGAAAAGAAGTCATCTTTAGGCCTCTGTTTCTTAACAGTATCGATCACAACAAATGCGCATGAAGATAAGTGGGTGTACGAGATTACCATACAACTAGCTGATGTAGGAGCGGCTTGGGTAAATAGAAGCTCTCCCGGGGTTAACAAAGAGTGCAATACCGCTATCGTATGTTAGCAACCAATTAACCATCCCTAGAATAAATTAATCCATGGTTACTCTTCAACTCTGGAAAATAACGCTTATATTTTTGATACCGTATTAGGTCAAAAAAAATGTACTCCAGCTCGAGAGTATTCGTCTTCTCATCTTCGTCGATAAAAAAGCCAAGGACGAGGTTGTAACTTCCGAACAGAAACAGCTGCTTCAAGCCATGTCTTGTAGACAGTAGAAGCTTTTATGTTGGATTTGAATCCGAGGCGGGATAATATATCCTGTAAGAGATCTGTCGGAATATTTTGATCCCACGATCCTGTAAATGGGTAGCTTTAAGTTTCTTTCCGATTAATAAATGTAATTTCATATCATTTTTTTTTTTTAATTTAGATGTTTCCTATAAACGATATTCCTAAACGATATTAAGACTTCAAATTACATATATGACCAATAAAAAAAAAAGCATAAATGTAATTTTCCATATATAAGTTATTTATTTCTAAATATCCAAGAGCTAAGGTATATATAAATTTGCGTGGAGTGAAGAAACCCTAAATCGCGTCCATCAGCCGCTCATTTGTAATAGAGAAGATGAAAAGGGAGAAGGTTGAGCGTGAGATTCCCGGGTCCGAGGTTATGGAAATACAGAAGAACTGCGATGTAATCTATTCTTTCTATCTTCTTTACCTAATTGTTTTTTTCGTCAAATCGCTTCCAAATATATTTGAGCTAATAACTAACCGAGCTAATATTCTGTACATTTTCGCCAAAAACCATCCCCACAATCAGCCCCTCGCTTCCGATGAGAAGGTGGAGAAGGAAAGTAAGAAGGTTGTAGTGCTTAACTTTGGACCTGGCTATAGGAAACCACCGTGGAAATGGAGAAGCAGTGTAATATATATTCTTTCTATCTACCTTACCTAATTGTTGATTATATTTGAACTAATAAGTAACGGGTCTTACTTAGGAAAACCAAATCCACCGGGGTATTACGTTCGTTTACGCCAATGATCATCCGCACAATCCTCGTCGTTTAATAGTCCTCCTTTATGCTAAGTTGGGCCTTCATCGTTACAATTGTGTCCATGTAAATAATTATTCTCTTTAATTTCTTTCTTATTAATTACCTATATCTATGTTGCTTTAATCTATTTCTTTCTTTTTCTATCAATCAAATTTAGGGGAAAGACTTGAAGCTCAGTAGCATATCTACATACATCAAGTCCTCGGGTGTTACTAGTGCTACCTCTTACCGCATAACTTTCGATGCCAAGGATCCTCGAGATACCAGTGGTTCCCTTCAAACTTTTCAAACTCATGTTAATGAAAGAACTTATGGCAGCTTACTTTTGTCGTGCACTATTGCTTGTCCTTTAGGTAAATATTTTTAGATATTATTGGTATAGTTTTCAAACCAACAACAAGTTATCAATCTTCGAGTTACTCTTTGTATAGGTGAAGTTACCATAGGTAGTGAAACCAAAAGAGTCAACTTGCATTCTCTCAGGCCTGAGTTGCCGCCAGAGAATCCTTTCCAAGATGATACAGACCGATTTTACGTGGTAAAATCCTTGATTTTAAGACCACTTGAGTTTTTGCTTATTATCGAACAACAACATATTTATGGTTTTTTTTCTTTTGGCAGCTGAAAAAATCAGAGGTAAAAAAAAATGACTGGATTCGTCTGTATTTGGAACTTGCAGTTGCCACAACTAAAAGGCACCATATAAAACACGGTGTGGCCAATTTGAAGATTCTGAGAGTGGCTCTGGACACTACACCAGACCCATGTCGTCCCTCTGAAAAGGGACTTCACGCCTATGATGCAACTTTCTACATTAGGTACACAGACTCATGCAAGGCTCGAGCTGGTGAGGATGGCGATCGCGTTGCTATAGTCAGAAGAATCTGGGATGAGAAGCCGCAAGTCTTTAGAATCGTGGGTCGCACTGAGAGCTTCAGATCGTTAGGGAACGGTGAATCCACCACGTCGCCTGGCTCGAAGGACGGGACAATCTGACATGATGGTTTCGATGTAAATGGTGGATCGTACTCAGAGCTCACAAACCTTGGAAGCTGGCTCGTCGTCTGCACAAGACTAGATCCATTTAAATATGTGGATCAGAATAATAAACCCATCGTTTCTTGACCAAGTTATTTGGTGCCTTAGGATTGTTATGTGGATTTCTTTTTGTGAAACTTTGTGTAGTTTTTAAGTGTGTTGTTCTGCTTGAATACTTTAACATTGGTCGACTAAGTTATTTGGTGCGTTCGGATTGTTAAGTGGATTGCCTTTTTGTGCAATTTTGTGTTGTTTTTAAGTAGTGTGTGTTGTACACAAGAGTTTCAAATAATTCAAATCAAACCTATAAAATGCATAAATATATATATATTTTTTTTGACTTTTTTCATTATGCAAAACATAACGGATGATGAAGTCACAAATTAAAGTTGTTGTGAGGTGTCTCCACCCAAACGATGAGGTTAGTCAAATCGATTCTTGGAGGGGGATAAGAGCTTTTCTCTTCACCGAGGGAGTAGTACATGCCATATTGCCCATACTTATCAATATACGATGAATATATTTGGAGGGGGACATGGTTTCAGTACTGGAAGAATATTCCAGGTTGCTTTAGATGGGTCAAAAACCCCAAGGTAGCCGCAGGTACTAAGACAGTAGAACATACCATTCAAAAAGATACATTTGTCCCATCTGCCATAGGTTAACTTGTGCTGAAAGCAATGGGTGATCCATACAACCTTTGGCCTTCATTATTCTTTTACACAACTGATGGTAACTAAGGCTTTACATGATACAAAAGTTCTCTCCTTAGATTTCGGTTTCTTTGTGATTTCGTTTTATAGATGACATGAGGAAAATTTAAGCTAATTATTGAGTGCCAAATCAACAAAAAACAATGTGATACAAATACTAATCCAAGAGTTGGTTCTCTGCAAGTAGTGATTAATCTCAAACTCATATGTTCTGTTTTTCTCGGTTTATGTTATGCTCTGCTCTTTTCTGCTTTGGTCTGTTGTATAAAAAGATTTCATTTTGAACCGATCATTCCTAACATGTCTAAATTGCAACTGTATAGATTTGGTAGAAATTCGGACCTTTGTCTCTCTGCTTCATGTCAAATCTGGACATTTGTCTCTCTGTTTCTTCTTACTATATATACTTATACCTTCACTCAATGAATCAAACTAAAAAGATTGTTTATAGAAAACAAAACAAAGCACAAAGAATCATGTAGCTTCACTTGGATACAAAAAGGTAAGCAAAACTATCAAGCAACGTGTAAATATAATCAAGATTTTGGATCTTGATTTGTTTTATAGGATCTCCATTTTCTGCTCTGACTCTTCAGAGTTTGTTGAGATGATACCTTGCTCTCTCTCTTTTTAATGCAACGGAGTCAAGAGAGGTCAAAGGATGAGCACACCTACAATGGATGCTACCAGCGGAACGACGAATCCTTTAGTTTTCTTCGTCTCTTGACATGAAGAAGATAGAAAAAGACCTGGATTTCCGCCCACGCTTGTTATTACAAAACGTTAGGGCGAAAGCAAGAATTCCGGTAAGCGAACTATACATATGATAAATCTTTTTTCAAGAAAATGGGAAAGCATTGGTTCAGTAATATGTGCAAACCTTAGCTTAAGTGATCCGGTTCTTGATCTCTCCAGTAGTTTCGGCGGAACCAAGCCCGTTAGTTGGTTTCCTTCCAAGTTTCTGCAAAAGTACACACAGAAGCCATATGAGTACCACACCAATGAGCTTAAATGAAGTTTATGTTCGAGTTGATATGACTTACAGCTCATTTAAACTCGGTAAATAGGCGAAGCAATCAAGTACGTTTCCTTTTAAGCGGTTGTTTGACAAATCCCTGCAACAAAAGATTGATTTGAGTTCACAAACTCTTTACTCTCTTCAATGTTCATAGCATCAAACAAATAAATACTGACAATTTCTGAATTGATGTCAGGTTGCAGAAGGCTGGATCGATCAGACCAGACAATCTGCTGAAGGATAAGTTCCTGAAACTCACCAATGTTATCTTAGAAACATGTAAAAATACTGAAAACACAGAACAAAGATGAGCTTAGCAAGATTCTCACAGAGAAACGATTCTCGGAGGATTCTGATCACAGTCAAGACCTTCCCAAGAATAATCTACAGGAACACATGGATCTCCTTGCCAATTCTTCTTCAGTTTGTAAATGGTTTTAATCTTCCTAATGGCATCAACTAAGGCAAATGAAAACAACTTAATCGTCCTCGGCTAAGTAAAATTTTCAATTTTTCAACAAAAGAGAGAAAATTATTCGTTACCATCTAGTTGATGAGTAGGTGACTGAAGAAACTCATTGACTTGATAGGCCTCAATGGCGTTGATGATCGGTTGAAGGGTTGATCTATTAGTTGGTCTAATAGAAATCTCGATTCTTGATCCGCTCGCGGGGTTCTTGGTGGAAAGTGTATCTGTAAACAAGAAGCGTGGACTAAACACAATGGGATCTATTGGCTCACCATTCACCAATATAGTGAACTCTCTGGTCTCATTTCTCTGCAGCTCAACAATTTCAGCAAAGTGCATGAATATATAAAACTTCCCCTTAGGATCTTTTGGTTCAAGCAACATATTGATATACTGGATTGCTTTTCTTGGTGCATTTGCGGTTCTCATGACAATAAGAGGAGGTTGAAAGCTATTGTTGATATTTTGATCTATTGTGAGCGGCGTGTTCAAGGTAGTGAAATTTTCCAATTGTCGCGGTGTCCATAAGCGGTCATAAGCATCATCTTTGTACCTAAATTATGAACATACATTAAGTAGCTAATGATTTGAAACTAACAAAACAGAGCTTAAAGAAAACTCACCTGACAGAATCGTTACTTATTGATCCCACATCACGTCTTGCAACAAGCATAAGTTTATCATAAGGAGTCTCATACATATTACTCTTTAAAAGCCTGAGCTCTAAGACAGATATAAATGCTGTTCCTCTGCCTTTATCAACAAGACACACATGGACATGGTCTGAACCAAGAGTGTAGATGATTTCTTTGGTAACAATCGTAGTTGCATTATCTATTGAAACAGAATCCCAGAGATTGACCCCAAGATAAAGATCAAACTCAGGTGCTTTGTCGAGACTGTCGTAGTTTCCATACATGAAACGAGCTCTGATCAAATACTTAGAACCTTTTCCTTGTAGAGGCTTCACATCGTAACAATTTCTCTTGGCTTCAGGGAAGCTCCTCACGTTGTTGAACTGTCTATCAAGAGAACTTGTCTGAAACTTAGGATCTATGTTACTCCTTGTCCCTGATTCAACGAATTCAGAATCTGAAATGTAATTTATATCTGTTTTTTCATCACGGTACCTCGAACCATCTGGTAGCCCGCAGTCAATACTCACAAATCCTGCAAAAGACGTGCACAAAGATAGAAATACAAAGATTTATGTACATGTGAAGAATCAACACAAACAAAGACCATTAAATTATGTACCTGATTGGTCTTGAGCTTGAACACAAAAACGACCAACAAAGCTTATGTATGTAACCAACAGAAGAAAGTTGAAGAGAGCCATAAATTTTCTCATAGATTTAAAGATCCTCTTCTGTATTATATAGAAGCAAAATAACCAATGGCATGTGAAATAGTCAACTCTTTTTTTTTTTTTGTTTAAGACTATTCTACATACATGTTGTCCTATATTTAAATCACCTCTACAGATCATAAGTTAATCACTAATCAGCATGATCCAGTTCATAGACATTTTCTGAAAATTTCTTCTGCTGGATACTGCATCAACCACTAGGCATTTTAAAACCAATTCAAGTAACAATTGGTCAACAGGTTAAAGAATTGTTGTTTTGATTAGTATTCGTTACAGAACTAGTGACTATTTCAATGGATTTCTGGATAACACAAGAAAATTGGATAGCAAGAAAATGAAAAATTAAGCATGGACTGGATTTGGTATAGAGTACTAAAAGTACCTTGGAGACAAGCTTTCGGAGGACAAGAGAATTCTAACATCACCTAGAAATCAGAATTGCAGAAGAGAAACAAGAGGGTACTTCAAAATTCAAATAAACATCAACTTTAGTGGACGTTGACTCCCTTAGATAACGTTTTCTAATACCACGTAACATAATGAACCCGCCACATTTTAATTTTGTACCTTTTCTCTAAAGGTTTTTGCATGGAAGCTTTATGATCTTCAGGCTTGTCCTTGACGTTCTTACATCAAGCTATCAAAAGTAGTTTTCTATAAACTAGCAAACCACACATGATCAAACGGTTACAGTATAACCATGCTTTAATTTACCATATGTGCTCTCTTTGTAACCTTCTGCTTCCTTATATCTGCTTTGCCTATACATTGTCTTAATAAGAAGCATCCTCTACCTTACGAAGCCAGTCCCATGCTCACAAATTATGTATTAATGTTTTTATCAGAACAATATTAGAGATTCAATTGAAGAATCAGGACAATATTTTTTTTCTTCCTGTGCAATAAAGAATGTTGTATATATGTAGCTCAAGAATCAAACTGAAGTTATATCTATCAGAAAGTAAACTATGTATAAAGAATCTTACCGTTACTGGGATTTAAGGCAAAAAACTTTTCAATCATATTCAAACGTCTTCTTCTTAATCACAAATCGTTTTGATTTCATAGCCCACAGAATTTTCCAATTGCTTTAACACTCAGATGCATTACCTCGGTTGGGGAACCACTCCCGGGTCAAGAGTCATCGACATCATCATCTCCGTCCGCTCTTTAAGAGAAATATCTCCAGGATCACCACTGGTTCTTGCTCTAAATAGACTCTCTTTTAGCTCAGCCACCACCTGACTCATTGTCAGTCTTGTCTCAGAACTCTCAGACGCACAAGCCAATGCTACTTCAGTGATCTTCCAGGCCAAGCCAGCGTTGAACCTCTCTCCTAGCTTCGGGTCCACAATGCTTTTTATATCTCCTTTAGACAGCATCAAGCTAACTCGGTCGCTTATATGTCTGTTCTTTTCAGTGCTTGAACGTGAAATTACCGGTTGGCCCGTGATTACCTCCAGGAGAACCACCCCAAAGCTGTAAACATCACTCTTCTCGCTGAATTTCTCCATCGAGTAGTGCCTTTATTTGAAAAAATGTATCAGAAACCGTACCAAAAAACAACAGAACATAACCATAGAGTAGAGAAACAAATGAATATAGACAAAAGAAACTAGTTAAAATTTGAGGTTCAAAGAGAAAAGCTTTACTCAGGGTCAAGATAGCCGATAGTTCCAGCGACTTCGGTTGAAACCTGACTTTCACCTTCAAGTGTGAAGCTTCTAGATAAACCGAAGTCAGCGATCTTGGCCTGGAGCTTTTCGTTGATTAGAATGTTCGTAGGTTTCACATCTCTGTGAACTATAGGAGGTTTGCATCCATTGTGGAGATACTCTAGCCCTGTTTTTTTTCAAGCAAACCAAAGTTTCATTGTTATTTTCATTACGTTTATATATGTATTTTCGAGAACCAGTAATGGCGAACCTTGTGCAGCGTCTAATGATATCTGTAACCTCTCCTCCCAGCTCAAAATACTCGAGTTTTTCCCTTAATTATACAAAACGACAATGAACTAATAAGTTCTTTTGAATATAACAAAACCAAGTGAACAAAAACTAATTACATGAGACTGACCTGACAAGTAGTCTCCCAAGGTCCCATTACCGATAAACTCGTATATAAGTGCCATTCGATCTCCTTCGTGACAGTATCCAATAAGAGCTATTAGGTTCTTGTGATGAACTCTCAGGAGAAGTTCTACCTGACAATCAACAAGTCCATGTCTCTCTCAAAAATAGTTCACTTTTCATATGGAGATAAAGACTGAACATTTAAGAGAGTATATGAGAGTAACCTCTGCTCGGAACTCTTTGTAGCCTTGAGCTGATGATTTAGACAACATCTTGATAGCAACCTGTTCCCCACTTAAGACACCATAGTATACTTTTCCGAAGCCTCCGTGGCCAAGAACTCTGTCGAAGTTGTTTGTAATTTCCACGATTTCTGAATACTTGTAGTATCGCTTTGTGTCTAATGGTCCGGTCTTTACACCTGTAGTGCATGGAAATATATCATGAGAAATGTTTTCATCAAAAGTCTTAGAAGAATAAGCAATTTCAAGAGGTTTTCATGATTCACCCACTTTGTTGTCTCTTCTTGAATTGCCAAAAAGAAGTTAACGCGAGCAAGAGAACAAACAATCCCGTGACAGATGCTACTGATGGAATGATGTATTCGTTCCTCTGCGTCTTTTTATTTCGACATGAACCAGACACGCAAAGGTCTGGATTCCCGCCAACTCTTATGATTAAAATGCAGAAACATTATGTTAAGAATAAACCATTAAAACATGCCAAAACTCAAATTGAACTGTTTCAAATCATTTTAGCAACAGATATGCAATGAGTTCAAAAGCTTATCAAGAACCAACCTTAGAGAAAGCGATCTATTCTTTGATCTCTCCAGTAATTTCTCCGGGAGGATGCCCGTTAACCTGTTTTCTTCCAAGTTTCTGCAGAAACATGCGTGGAATGGATCCATATAGTTTCTCCAAGTAAAAGATACCAATGTTTTTTCTAATATGCAAACTCAGTTGGCATGACTTACAGCTCGGTCAAATCCGGTAAATTGGCAAGGAAATCAGGTATGTTTCCTGTTAATCTGTTATGTGATAAGTCTCTGCAATGAATTTTTTTTTGCATTAGTTAAGATTCAACAACTCTCTATACTATAGACTGTAACAACAACAACAACAAGTATTCTGACAGTTTCTGTAATGGTGTAAGGGTGATGAAGACTGGATCAATCTGGCCAGTCAATCCACTAAAGGATAGGTTCCTGCAGATCACACATTTGTTGCTTTGAGAACAGAAACATATAGTACTGAGATATATGCAAATTCAACAAATTCTTACACAGAAATGATTCTCGGAGGATTGTTAGCGGTGTAGCTACAATTAATACCCTGCCAAGGATAGCCAAATGGAGCACAAGGATCTCCGAGCCAGTTCTTCTTCACTTTATACTTGGTCTTTATTTTCATAATTGCATCAACTACAATGCATACTAAACAGACTAAGTAGAGAGAGCTAAGTATTAAGTGAGGCAATTTAAATTCTGAATATGTAACCTTACCATCACGTTGATCAGTAGGCAACTCACGAAAGTCGTTGATACGATATGTCTCGATGGCATTAATGATGGGAGGACGCGTCGACCTAACACTTTGTCTAAGAACAAATTCTAGAAATGGTCCGCTCACGGGGTTTTGAACGTAAAGTGTGTCTGTATACAAGTAGCTAGGCCTAAACACACTAGTAGTGTCGATCTGCTCTTTGTTCAGAAACACAGAGAACTCCCTCGTCTCATTGCTTGGAAGCTTCTCAACTTCAGCAAAGTGTATGTATATATAGAATTTCCATTCAGGGTCCAGTGGTTCCCAATAAAGCATTATATCTTCTTGGCTGGAATTCATGGGTGCTACTGCAGTGCTCATGACAACACTAGGAGGTAGGAAGCCGTTGCTGCTGTTCGGATCTATCGTCAGCGACGTATTGAGGATTAAAAAGTTTTGAAACATCAGCGGCATCCATAGGCGGTCAAAAATATCATCTTTGTACCTATATTATTAGAGAAATGTAAGGCAAAACAGAACTAATCACAATTTACAAACGGAAAAGGCATCTATACTATTAATTGGTAATCACTTGATATTAAATAACCTTATAAAGGGTAAAATATTACATAAAATGCCATTGATTTTTAGTGTTTTTTAAATAAATTCATTAAAGGCACAATAGTAATCACAAAATTATATATTTAAATAATAAAAATAGTGAAATTATTTTAAATAATTATTAGTTTCCAAAAAAAAATAAACTTACTTTCTCTCTCTTATTAATTATGAACGAAAATTTAAAATTAATTTCTAAAAAATTGTTAACCAATAAGAATTGAAAAACTAAGATTTGATATCCAACTAAAATTTTATCTAAACCAATCCTAATAGACTATTCTATATCAAAAAAAGAAAAGAAAAATAATTTTATTTTAATTCAAAATTAAAAACATTATGGTTTAAAAAGTTTTATCAATGGAGGATTTTAAGATTGAATTTGAAATTTCGTAAAAAAAAATTAAATACAAATATTTAAGATTCAGTTTTGTTATAATATTTTCACAAATTTTGAAATATAAAACAAAATTTTAGTTTCAAAATTTCTAAAAAAGATACTATATATTAACAAATATTTATATTTACTATGAAATAAACTCAAATTATGATTAATATAAAGTAATTATCATTATGGTCTTCCTTTATAGCAAGTTTTGGAAATATCTAAACAATAGATTGTACATATTAATTTCTAAATATTTTGTGTTTTATTTTTTCTTTTCAACCGGATCTTCTTTAAATAAATCCATAATATATTGCACACAGTTTTTCGAAATAATATGAACTAATTATATATTTTGCATTCAAAACAAATTATGCAGCAATAGCATATCCCTTTTATAGGTGTATCACAAAGTTTTATTTTTAGTCCAAAAAATAGAATTAATTATGATTAAAAAATGAAAAAATATGCAAAACTCAGCTAAAGAAAGAAACATTAATAAATTTGTTAAAATATATTTCTAACTTTAACAACATACATATTAATCCTTAAAACTCACAGTATATATTGTATGGTATTTAACGGTATAAGCAAACAAGAATTTTGAACATGATTTTAATATATTGAAATGGGAATAGGAATTACGAGACGGGATGGGAGGGGAATATAAATTAAAAATCAAACTAAATACCCAACTGGTATGAGTTCGGGTTATGAGCACTATATAAAATAAATTCGTTTACACACATAACCATGTACGTACGTTTTTAGTTACACATATTCTATTTATGACAGATACGAGACCGACATATTTTATTTCACGTATACGTGACAGGTTATGAGACGAATAATATATGACAGATACAGGACGGGATAGGTTTCCCGTTCCAAAATAGTCACACCTAGCTTAATAGTCACACTAAACTAAAACTGAATCCATATCCTATTTAACATATGTAATCAAACTGTTAGAAATGTTTTGATTAGTTTAGAAAATAAAAACGTAACATCACTTAACTTTTGCAACTAAATTAGTCCGGATCTTAAAATATAATTATGCACTAACGCAACTGAATTTTGTTCATTACTCCAACTTTATAATATCTACACTATTAAGAAGTTCACTAACACAACAAAATCTTATATATTTTTAAAATCTATATAATAATTTCTAAAAATATCTCTGCACGTACGTGTGGATCAAAATCTAATACACTAAAATATATATCATAAAAAAATAAAATAATCTATATTAAATTAAAATTTATTAGAAATTATTTTCAAATATGAAACCCCGCACGTACGTGCGGGTCAGGATCTAGTTCATTATTTTAACCTGGCAGGAAGATCTCCGGTTGCACCGAGATCCCATCTTCGATACAACATAAGAGAATCAGAAGGAGTCTTGTATGCATCATTGTTCAAGAGCCTGAGTTCTAACACGGACAAGAATGGGGTTCCTCTTTCTTTATCAACTAGACACACATGAACCTTGTCCGAGCGAAGAGTGTGGATGATCTCTTTGGTGATTATGGTAGTTGAATTCTCAAGAGTAACAGAATCCCAAAGATTGACACCAAGATAAAGATCAAACTCTGGTGCTTTCCCTAGATTATCGTAGTTACCGTACATGAAACGGGTTCTGATCAAATACTTGTTGCCTTTTCCCCGCGGAGGCTGGACTTCGTAACAGTTTCTCTTGACTTCAGGGAAACTCCTAACGTTTTGAAACTGCTTCTCAAGAGAACTTGTTTGAAACTCAGGATCTATATTATGAATTGTCCCGGACTCAACAAAGGCAGCATCTGAAACATACTTAATGTCTGTTGTTTCATCATTATAGCTTGAATCCTTAGGTATACCACAATCTATGCTAACAAAACCTGTATAAAACACACACATGAAAGCCTCTTATACAAAGCATATATAGACATATATTCAATATCTTAATTAGGAACTAAACCATTTTCTAAAGTCTACCTGATTGGTCTTGAGCACAAACAAGAACAGCGACAACAACAAAGCTTGCGAATGAAACTAGCGGAAGACAGTTGAATTTCCTCATCAGTCACAATTCTCAACCAATTTCTCATAGATTCAAACTAAACCTTATATATGCATAGCTTGTTATTTTCAGTCATTCAATAGACATGTTGCCAACATGTGAACCACCTTCTCTGAAAGCATATATATATACTATAAGCCAAAAGGGTATCTTGTGATTTTATTCGAGTTTCTTTAATGTAATGTCAACTCCTTACCAAAGTTTGTATTCACAACAATTTCCAAGTGGGATGATTTTTCAACGTTATTTTCTATGAGCGAACAAAAGTCTCCAGCTTGGCTTATATATATGCATAACATCTGAGAAATGGGTAGTGACATTAACAAGTTAAGATCATTCTCCTTCTACGTTGTAACATATGCCTTAGTAGATTCTTCTGCTGAATCTTCTCCCGGCTCAGTCTCAGAGTGACGATGAATCGTGTCCACTATATATATCACCATGTTTAAGCTTGTACAATCGTCTCTTCATTATCATATTCACCGATCAAAAACCCTAAAATTCGAACTCAAACCTAGTCACGAGGAAAAGAAATTTAGCTTTGTTTGTGGAATGAGATATTTAGGGATTGGCTAAAATTGAAACTTGAAAAAAAACATCTGTCTTAATAACTCCGTTTCGGTTAAGTAACTTACTATTTAATGTGAAAACTATTAAGTAACTTACTATTTAATGTGAAAACTATTAAGTAACTTACTATATAGCTTCGGAGAAGCGTATCACGAGATTGGAGTTGGAGGTTGATTCAGAGATAGTGGTGAGTTTCCTAAAACACGGGATTAGTGACTCTCACCCGCTATCGTTCCTAGTACGTTTGTGCTATGGCTTTTTATCGAGGGACTGGATAGTCCGCATTTCGCATGTGTATAGGGAGGCTAACCGTCTAGCCGACGGGTTAGCAAACTATGCGTTTACTTTGCCTTTAGGGTTTCATATGTTTGAGTCTAGACCGGATGTGGTCAATTCTATTGTTTTTGAAGACATGAACGGGTCTGCGCACCCACGTTTTGTTCGCGTGTAACTCTTTTTTCAGTTTTAATAAATCATAGGGGACTCGTCCCCCTTTGTTTACCAAAAAAAAAAAATGTGAAAAAAACATCTGTCTTAATAACGCCGTTTCGGTTAAATAACGCCGTTTCAGTTATGAGTTTAATTATTAGAGTGTGTCTCAAAAAATTTAGAGGTTAAATGAGTTATTTTCATGACTATAATACAATTTTTCTCTTTATTAGAAGAACAAAAATCAAAATTACCTTTACATATATTGGAAAAAAACATAGGAAAAAATATTGAAAACAAAATTATTTGAAAAGTCTGCTAGATTAGTTGTCAGTTGTGACATGTTTATTTTTTACGACAGGCTTATTTATATACGACAGCTTTTTTTGCGATATTTTTTTTTTATTAATTGTTATTTGTCTACGACGTATCTAAAAAAACGAAGTTCTATAGTTCCCGAATCATATGGCTGTACGGTTCCTACAAAAAAAGTGTGGCCGAACGGTTTAAGATCTAAGTGGCTATATTACCATGTCCAAACTTGTTTTTTTTGATAACCGAGTGTCCTGGCCCCACCGAGGTGGTCCAGACTAGAGACCGAAACCTTACGGCGCGGACTCGGCCGCGATTGCGGCGCACACCCGAAGGTGGGTCATGGCTAGGTAACGGTCTTCGGTCTCGGGCGCCAGAGCAAGTCCGCATGTAAATTCCCTGGTGGCCAGTGCGAATCGAACCCGGGGCCGTTCTTGCATCTGCAAGCCGTTTACCACCAGACTAACTCGTCCTGGTTATGTCCAAACTTGTTATTTTTCCATGCAGAACCTTACCGATAGAAAAAAATTATTTAGATAAGTGTGATCTTGGAAAGACTTGAGGCATCTTTAGTAGATTTTCTAATGTTGAACGAGTACTTTAGTAACTGAAAATGCTTCTTAATTATGTGTTTCTAATTTTCTAGACTCATTAGAGATCTTTGATTTACCAAAGAAAATAACAGAAATTTCTTGTACACTTCGATTATTTTACAAAGCAAACACAACTCAACTATGTTCTTCTTCTTCATCACACCAGTACTCCACACCACACAGAACTTCCAAGTTTATGGAAATTAAATACTCAAATGAATTCAAAAATCATTTACCTTGCTTGAGGAAACATTCCCGAATCAAAATTCGTCATCGCCGGATCTGTAACACTACTGGCGACAGAACCACCACCGGTTCTTGCTCTGCTTACACTCTCCTTTAACTCAGCCACTACCTGACTCATTGTCGGTCTATTCTTAGAACTAGAAGATGCACAAGCCATTGCTACTTCAGTGATCTTCCATGCCGAACCAGCATCAAACCTCTCTCCTAGCTTTGGATCCACAATGCCTCTGATATCTCCTGTCGAGAGCAGCAACTCGACCCGGTCAGTTATGTGTATGTTCTCTGCTGTTGTTTTTGAACGTGCAATCACCGGTTGGCCTGTGACAACCTCTAAAAGAACCACCCCGAAGCTGTAAACATCACTCTTCTCGCTTAATTGTTGCGTCAAATGGTACCTTCATTTTGCAAAACAATGTCTCAGAAACCGTAACAGCTAATATCAAATGACAGTGGAAGAAGCTTTTTGCTTACTCGGGATCGAGATAACCGATAGTTCCAGCAACAGCGGTTGTATCTTGGTTAGTACCGTCCAGTGCGACACTTCTAGATAACCCAAAGTCAGCAACCTTGGCCTGGAGCTTCTCGTTGATTAGAATATTATCTGGCTTCACATCTCTTTGTACAATGGGAGGCTTGCAGCCATTGTGAAGATACTCAAGCCCTGAGATTCAAACAAACAAAAGATTTTTATTTCATTGATTTTCTCAGATACTTTTTGTGTACTCGTTACCAACCTTGTGCCGCGTCTAGTGATATTTGTAACCTCTCTTCCCAGCTCAAGACATAAGATTTTTCCCCTTGATTTTGAAAGAAACAGAAAGGTAAGTTTAGTTATCTCTGGCTACCGTAGCAAAAGACCAGTGACTAAAACTAACTACCAGAGAGACTGACCTGACAAGTAATCTCCTAAGGTTCCATTAGCCATAAACTCGTAGATAAGTGCCATCTTCTTGTCTTCGTTGCAGTATCCGATAAGAGCGGTTAAGTTCTTGTGATGAACTCTCAGTAGAAGTTCGACCTGATCATAAACAAGTTGGTGCATATCCCGGTTACTCCATAACTCACTTAATAGAGACTAAACCTCTTAATGTATAAGAGGGGTACCTCTGCTCTGAACTCTTTGTACCCTTGAGCCGATGATTCAGACAGAATCTTGACAGCAACTTGGTCGTCTTTTAAGACACCATGATATACTTTTCCAAAACCTCCTTGTCCAAGAACTCTCTCAAAGTTGTTTGTAATTTTCACAACTTCTGAGTATTTGTAGTATCGTTTCGTTGTGTCCAATGGCCCAGTCCTTACACCACCACCAGAACCACCTGTAAAGATCTCATGAGATTTTTTCTTCCATGTAATGTTAGAAATCAAAGAAGAAGCAATATAGGATTGTTTCTTGATCTTTTTACCGCTTCGATGTCTCTTCTTGTACTGCAAGAACAAAGCTATTGCTATTACAAGACCAAGAACTCCCGCGACAGATGCTGCTAATGGAATGATGTATACACTCTTTTTTTTCTTCTCATCCGGAATTTGACATGAAGCAGACACGCAAAGGTCTGGATTCCCACCAACTCTTATGATCATAATGCAGAGATATTAAGAAACCATGAACCAGATAGGCCAAAACTTAGAATAGCTTTGGTTCAACAGCTACAAAACATCTGCATTGTGTTTAAAAGCCAATAATAAGTATGAACAAACCTTAGCAAAAGCAATTTATTTCTTGATCTCTCCTGTAGTTTAACCGGAATAGCACCCGATAACTTGTTTCCTTCCAAGTTTCTGCATACATATATGTGATATCAATTTAAATTCTTCAAGTTACAGAGAAGTCAATGTCTATGTAATCTACAATTCCAATTAGTAAAGACTTACAACTCTGTCAAATTATGTAGATTACCGAGGAAATCAGGTATTGTTCCTGTTAAACTGTTGTTTGATAAGTCCCTGTGATGAAATTTTGGTTTCTGTCAGTTAAGGATTCCACAACTCTATGTACTAAAGATTCCAGATCAAATCGAAAATACGAACAGTTTATGTAACAATGTAAGGTTTGAGAACGCCGGATCAATCTCTCCAGTCAAGCCACTTGAGGATAAATTCCTGAATATTAAACAACTCTTGTGAGAACATGACAGAGAGAGCGAAAATATATACAAGCATCTGAAGGAAAGCTTACACAGAAATGATTCTCGGAGACTCGTTATCGACATAGCTGCAGTTAATATCCTTCCAAGGGTATTTTACTGGAGCACAAGGGTCTCCAAGCCAGCTCTTCTTCACTCCATACTTGGACTTGATTCTCATAATTGCATCAACTAGAATTCAAACCAAACGTGGATAAGTACATGATAAAGTGCTCTGTTTCTGAAAATGAAACAATATGTATATACCATCTTGTTGATCAGTAGGTGCCTGAAGAAACTCGTTGACACGATACGTCTCAACGGCGTTAATGATGGGTGGAAGCGTAGATTTAGCAGTACGTCTAAGAAGAAACTGGAGTTTTGGTCCGCTCACGGGGTTCTGAACAGAAAGCGTGGTTGTATACAAGTATCGCGGGCTAAAGGAGCTCATGTTGATTTCCTGTTCGTTTAGTAACACCGTAAATTCTCTTGTCTCATTACTTGGCAGTTCCACAACTTCTGCAAAGTGCATATACACATAATACTTCCAAGTAATATTCTTTGGTTCCCAATAAAAGATTATGTGTTCGCTTGAATCCTCAGGGGAAGTTGCAGTGTTCATAACAAAGCGAGCGGGTTGGAATCCATTGTTCGTATTCGAATCTATTGTGAGCGATGCATTGAAGATTGTATACTTTGGAAACCTTAAAGGTATCCATATCCGGTCAAAAACATCATCTTTGTACCTACATTATTACCAACTTCTAAGAAGAAAGACAAAAACATAACTCATGACAAAAATACAAAATTAAAAATAGTGTTCATTTATATACCTCACAGGAAGATCACCGAGTCCCCCAAGATCCCATCTTTTAAACAGCATAAGTGAATCATAAGGAGTCTCGTATGTATCACTCTTCAGGAGCCTGAGTTCTAACACAGACAAGAATGGAGTTCCTTTGTCTTTATCAACAAGACACACATGAACATGGTCTGAACGAAGAGTGTGAATGATCTCTTTGGTAACTATCGTAGTTTCGTTATCTATTGTAACAGAATCCCAAATATTGAACCCAAGATAAAGATCGAAGTCGGGTGCTTTCCCTAGATTATCGTAGTTACCATACATGAAACGGGTTCTGATCAAATACTTGTTGCCTTTTCCCTGGGGAGGCTGCACATCATAACAGTTTCTCTTGCCTTCAGGGAAACTCCTAACGTTTTGAAACTGCTTCTCAAGAGAAATTGTTTGAAACTCAGGATCTATACTATGAATTGTCCCGGACTCGACAAAAGCAGCATCTGAAACATACTTTATGTCTGTTGTTTCATCATTATAACTTGAATCCTCAGGTATACCACAGTCTATACTCACAAAACCTGTAAAATAAACACAGACACGCACAGAGATTTAAAGCCTTAAAAACTCAGCCATATTTAGTTCAATTGCAAGACTTTATGTACCTGATTGGTCTTGAGCACGAACAAGAAGAACAAAAACAACGAAGAAGCTTGCGAATGAAATCAGCGGGAGAAAGTTGTAATGCACCATTACTGAAAAAAAGCTCTTGATCTCATAAAAATTTCAACATAAGCCTCTTCTACAATTTTAAAGCAAAACTAGTTTCTTGCTCCAATACTTTTGACTCTAAAAGATTATACTATAGCCATGTTGGCTGATGGTGAAGCACTATCTCCTGAAATCAAATACTAAAAAACAAATCTCAAGTCAAAAGGGCAAGTTCGGATATTCGAAGAGTTTCTTTTTTTCGTACACATGGACGACTTCCAGAGGTCTTTTGTCAGTTGACAAATCTTCAAGTGGGCGAATTTTTAAAAACCAAAGAACGAGTTCTTATGATTAGCTGACAATGAAAGTTTCAAACTTGAGTTTGTGGATAACATAAAGAAACTGCAAGTGACAATAAACAAAGTACAAAAATCAATCTCCCAACATGGCAACATGAATCAGGTGAAACAATAACAGTAGCTGAAAAATTATTGACACTATTGGAACTTGTAGACTATCACATCTGATCTAGAATCAATATTTGTAGAAAATTTAACAGAGTATCACTCTAAGAAACAAAAAGAAGATATAAATCCTCTCTAACCCTTAAAAGGAAACATGCATTGGGTTTAAAACATCACATAAAGACTTGCAAGACAAGCATCAAAATGGACAAGAGGATCATTTACCTTAAAAGTTCCATCTTTTGACAGTGCAGGCTTTTAGTGTTGCATAAAGAATTCACAGTTACCCAGACTTATTATGGTCGCCACAAGATCTTCGTGACGACTATCTTCGTCCAGCACTTGATGGAGCTGGTGATACAAAATCTTAAAATCAACATTTTCGTAAGAACCCCAATTATCGAAGTAGCAATTCATTGGAACTGAGACCAAATTCGAAACAATAATCTAATCAGAGATTTTATCTGCAATTGATTTTGCGAAGTGATTCACGAGCTTTTCACTCGGCGTTTACGGTTCTAGATTGGGGGTTTCCGATACGACGATCTACGAGTTGAAATTGGAAAGGGATTGGATAAAATTTTCAACATTAATAAATTTAGGTCCATGACTGAGACATTAGAAAAGATGAAGGGTTTATTGAGAAATAACCCAGAATTACCAAACCAGTTTATGCCACGAGCATGGTGACGTGGCGTTACTTTATTAGGCAAAAGAAGTTTCAGAGCTTGGTCATGTTTTTTCATCACTACCTATATCATGATTCATTAAGAACAAGATGAAAAGGATACTTGTTGATCAAGAAAACTCCAAAAAATCTGTAACACTTGCATTGAACTTGTAGCGAAAATTGTTCGCCTCAGTTAGATATAGCAGAGAGAGATATAGAAGCACAAAAGGACGAATTCTAGAACAAGAAGTAGCCATTCTCTCTCAAATTAAATCATAATTAATAAGCTAATAAATTGAAAACAAAGATTAATAATTTAATACCTCACACTGTTGAAAAATTACCACATAAAACATAATAAAGAGTTTGGCATAATACCCATAAACATAACATAAACTTGAACGAAAAACAACATAAATGAAATAAACTTGAACGAAAAACAACATAACATAAAATAAAATAAAATGTTTTCTTGAAAAGATAAATTTAGGGTTAAGCAGAAGGTTGGGAGGATAAGAGGCTCTTTTAGGCAGATTGACGTCCAAGCAGCCATAACATCCTCAAACTTGAGTTCTCCAACAGCAAGAAGAGGAATCTGTAGTCTTTGGTCAGAAACAAATTCAAGGCAAACATGTAGAGATCACTGCCTTTCTCAACCTCTTCCATGGCGTCCAAACACTCCATGCACTCCTCAATGGTATACTCCTTCTTCTTGACCGATGCATTCACTGGAATCTTCTCCATCATCTTGGGAGTTACAGTTTCAACAACATCCTCTGAGTCTGACCTAATCAGTGGGGTAGGCTCAGCATCATCAGCTCTATTGTCACTTCCTGTGACTGGCTCATTTGTGTAGACTACTACTGATGATGGAGCTGGTTGATGATCATGTAGCTGTGGTGATTCTGAATGACGATCGCTCACTCTCTTGCGATAACGGCGGGTTTTGGTTTTTCCAGGTTCAATACGTTCTTTGAAGATGGTTGCCAGTTTATCAGCGTGAGGAATATGTCTCCATCTGAACACTCCAGCTTTTTTATTTACCTATAAATCGACAACAACAAAAATATAATTACTTAACAATTGATATTATAAAAGTTATCTATAAGTAACGTTTTTCTTTACCTTCAAGTATTTATCCCAGTCCTCTTCAGTTGCACCAAACTTGCGAGTATTAGCATCCCACTTCATGATGGGAGAGGCAATAGTTTTACACCAGTTCTTCCAAGATGTTCTGGTACGTTCGAAGTGGCTTTCGAGCTGCTTATGTGTGTATCCTACTCCTGTGATCCGATTGATTTCCTCAAGAATCATTTTCCAAGCTTCCTTTGTATAACGTTGGTTACGTCTGGTTGGTGTGGTTCCTTTTATAGACTCTTGGAAACATACGTTCACAAAAATCGCATGTAAGGATGGTGGCCACTTAAACCGACGACGAATTGCGATATCAGACGCGCTTAGCTTAGATTTATATCCGTTATCATTTTCTTCATCATGAGGCTCACAGAATTGCTTCATTTTGCTACCTGAAGACGTACCTTCACCTTCTAAGTTAATACCAGCAAAGATGATCTCTAGTTTCTTGAGGAACAAGGGAGGATTACACCGATACTGTCCAGCCTCAGGATTCATCTGTGACAAATCCAATCAAGTACTTTTTATTACATATTTATTAGCCTTCATAAACAATCAATATATCAACAAACAAAAAGATGACTTTGTTTGTACCTCTAAATAGTTGGTCCATTCTTGATCACTGGCACCAAACGTGTTTGTGTGGAGATCCCATTTCATATCTTTGCATTGAACAAGTCTACACCAAATCTTCCACTGCTTGATCATTGTATCCCAACGATTCATAAGCTGGTCTATGGTGAACCTCACACCCTTCATTTCTTGAAAAGCTTCCAATATATGTTGCATTTCAGGTTGATTCCCCAACATCTTTTGCTCCACGCATAAGTCCACAAATACTTGGTCGTGTTCAGGTTCCCATGCGGCTTTCGACATCATAATGCTTTACTCTATGCATAGTTAGATAAGTAAAGACAACAACCAAAAAAAAAAAAAAATTAGATAAGTAAAGACAACAATAACAACAAAAAAATATATTTCCAAATTATCAATATCATATTAAAGGCTTAATTTGACCGGTAATTCCGTTAAAATCGTGGGAAAACTACATAAAAAAAATGGCGCGAATCGTGATATGATTGGTCAAAATCCCACAGGATCGTGAAATGATTTTGTCATTCCGTGGTTTGTCAAAACACAAAACAGTAACTAAATCTATACAAAATATACATACAAATATGTATGGGAGTTTTTACATGATGGCTGCCTGAATCTACAACTAACCTTAGGACTTATCAATTCCAAAATTTTACATCATGACTAAAATTTTGGCATTTGCACTGCTAGAGATGGGGATTTCTTGTTTTTTTTTTTCTGAGATTATTAGGCTTCTAAGGGCCCTATTTTATACCGGTTGGAGGTAGTTCTCTTATCGGAAACTTTTTTAATTCGCATTGACCGATTTTAATTTGTTCCAAGAAAAGATTGACTTATCTACCTTTTTACTAATTGAGAAGATAGTCAAATTATAGAGTTTAATTAGGAATTACCATAAGTTTATTACCGAGATTAGTTTTTTTTTTGTTTTTGTTAATAAGATATATAAATGAGTTTGAGAGCAAAATTTGAAAAAAAAATCACATTGTTTGTTTACATTACACATTATTTAATTAATTTAGCTGCTATTTTTTTTATTACACACTAATGATTTTAATTACATGCGAAATTTGAAAAATACATGTTATTTGTTTATAAGTTATGTTGTTTAATTAGATTAATTATTATGAGTGTTTTAATTTTATTGTTATGTAGATATTGCATGTTCTTGTTCATACATTTTCAGGACATGTGTCACATGTCACTGGTCTTTTGTCAATCAATCTTATCCCACTTACATAATATATTTTCAATGCCCTGACATTGTTTCCATCTAATAAGTAGCTATAAAGGAAACTAATTGGTTTTGTTGAATATGGAAGAAAGATACAAAACAATTGAATAGGAATATGAGAGATCTTTTTCTTGTGTTAGTCTAGTGAGACCATAATATTTAGCCTATGACTTGGTTACCTGAGAGCTAACAGGTTATAAAAGGAAGTTAGGCAGAATTAGTTGGGCATGCCAGACTTGGGCCACTTGGCTAGTGTTTTGGTTGAACATTGGTGGGTCGAGAGGTCAATAATTATTTATCAAAGTCCCTCTATGTGTAGTTCTTTGGCAGATTGAATAAAGAACAATTTTACTGGTTTTGATTTCTATCTGCAGCGTAATGAGGCGGGGACTAGCTATAGGAGAAGGCCAAGGACTTGGTCCTCATATAATCAAGCAGCAACAAACCTTCTCATCAAAGGCAAGACGTTGAAAGGAGATTTCAGATCGCGTTTCAGCTCGACATTTTCGTGATACTCAAGCTCGCTGCTCTTGTCTTTTTGTTCAACTAAATGATGATGTTGTCATATATAACCATTTATCTTGTTCAGAAGCTATTGCTATAATATAGCAGAATCTTCTTTATATGATGTGCCGAAGGACAAGGTAGGGAAGAAAACGATGCAAAGAACAGAGCTGATGCTAATGAGAATGAGAACGTAGTTGGTCCTGAAGCAGTGAACCAATGGTGGGGAATAGTGAGGAGATTCAGATGATTGTTTTTGGATTCATAACTTCACTATTTCCTGGCTTCCACAACATAGATTAGATGTATCATCAAAATCCTTTTTTAACAAAAGAACTTGAACAAGTATTTCCTTGTAATCTAGGCTTTATCTCAATCTAAATCAATGTACAAATATATGAAAGAAATTGAGCTATCAGCCTTAAACCTCAGGTCTGTCACTTCCTTGGATATATATCTCATTAGGGTTTCCTTAAATTGACTTCATTCGAATGTGTTTGTTCTTTCCACATGAACAGAGTCTATTATGATAATGACTAGCTAACTAGAGCTTCAAAAATTTGAACGATGATTGTCTCGGTATGAGGCTGGGGAAGCGGGTAGGGTACACCAGCTGAGTTTTTTTTCATCACTACCTAAGAAGATAAAGGTTACTTGTTCAAGAAAACTCCAAAATCTGTAACACTTACATTGAACTTATAGCGACAAATGTTCGCCTTAGTCAAATATTAGAAGAGAGAGAGATATATAGAAGCATAAAAATAAGAATTCTAGAACAAGAAGTAGCCATTCTCTCTCAAATCATACATTGAAAACAAAGATTAAGAATTTTCTATCTTACACTGTTGAGTTCTAGGTTACTCTCCAAAGATTTGATTTAATTCAACCACAAGCACTTTCTTATAGAAGAAGAAAGACTAACCTTGATCCATTTCTTAATTAGGCTTGTAATGGAATCAGTTCACCAATTGATTTTCTCCTCCCTTTGACCTCTTTCTTCAATCGATTCCTTTAATGGAGAAGGAATCTAAAACCTTCTTCTAGTTCTATCCGTATCTTCACCGACAAGTTATTGTGGTATTTATTCACTTTCTTAATTGTGTCTAAATGACACAAATGAACCCACGTAACTCTTCATAATAACTATCACTTACGTACCCATATATATACATATGACACCATCCACATGTAACTAAATGAAATTACATGTGCAATATATGAATACATTATAATAATGGAAAAGAATCAGTGTTCTAAAAAGCGGTCTAGGCGGTCGCCTAGGCCCCGACTAGGCGCTAGGCTCTCATTCGACGCCTAGATAACCGCTTTGACTGCCTAAAATTATATAGATCTTGTTTAATGTATTTTTTCAATTTCAATTAGAATTTTATTTATATATATAGTTATAAATATTTATATATTGTTTAATATAAATATAAATAAATATTTTATCTAGTTTTTGTTTATAATTTTATAATTTTTAGTTTTATATTGATATTTATATAACTTTTATATATAATATCATATTTATAATATATTATGTTATAAACGTCTAAACCGCCTAAAAAATCGCCTAGGCCCCGATTAGGCGTTCTAGGCGCTAGGCACTGAGTCACCGCCCGCTTAGCGCCTAGCGCTTTCTTGAACACTGAAAAGAATATACTTTGATGATATAAGGCAAGGAGGAGGGTTATCAATACACCCAAATTCTAATGACTTTAATCAAAACTGATCCATCATGGTATCGTCTTATATATTAGAATTCATAACGTTAATATGAATATGAACTTTAATTTATAGTTAAACCATAAAACACATAGACCACATATATAGAATAAATATTCTTACATGTTTGGCATAATAGTTAAGAAAAAAGTTTTTCATAATATCCATAAACATAAAATAAAACTTGAACGAACAACAACATAACATACCATGAAATAAACTTGAACGAAAAACAACAAAACATAAAACAAAATAAACTGTTTTCTTGAAAGATCAATTGAGGGTTTAGCGGAAGGTTGGGAGAATAAGATGATCTTTTAGGCAGCTCGACATCCAAGAAGCCGAAACATCCTCAAACTTGAGTTGTGCCACCGAAACAAATCCGAGGCAAACATGTACAGATCACTGCCTTTCTCAACCTCTTCCATGGCATCCAAACACTCCATGTATTCCTCAATGGTATACTCCTTCTCGACGGATGCATTCACTGGAATCTTCTTGCGATAACGGCGGGTTTTGGTCTTTCCAGGTTCGATACGTCCTTTGAAGATGGTTGCCAGTTTATCAGCGTGAGGAATATGTCTCCATCTGAACACTGCAGCTTTTTTATTTACCTATAAATGATAAATCGACAAAAAAAATATATAATTACCAATTGATATTATAAGAAATCTAAGTAACGTTTTCTTTACCTTCAAGTATTTATCCCAGTCCTCTTCCGTTGCACCAAACTTGCGAGTATTAGCATCCCACTTCATGATGGGAGATGCAATAGTTTGACACCAGTTTCTCCAAGCTTTCCTGGTAAGTTCGAAGTGGTTTTTGAGCTGCTTATGTGTGTATCCTACTCCTGTGGTCCGATTGATTATCTCAAGAATCATTTCCCAAGCTTCATTTGTGTAAAGTTGGTTACGTCTGGTTGGTGTGGTTCCTTTTATAGACTCTTGGAAACACAAGTCCACAAAAATCGCATGCGAGGATGGTGGCCACTTATACCCACGTCGAATCGCGATATCAGACGCGCCTAGCTTAGCTTTATATCCAGTATCATTTTCTTCATCACGATGCTCGCATATTTGTATCATTTTGTTACCCGAAGAAGTACCTTCACCATCTAAGTTAATACCTGCAAAGATAATCTCTATTTTCTTGAGGAACAATGGAGGATTTAACCGATACTGCCCAGCCTCAGGATTCACCTGTGACAAAAATCCAATCAAGTTTTCATTGCATATATTATTAGCCTTCATAAACAATCAAAATATCAACACACAAAAAGACTTTGTTTAATTTGTACCTCTAAATAGTTGGCCCATTCTTGATCACTGGCACCAAACGTGTTTGTGTGGGGATCCCATTTCATATCTTTGCATTGAACAAGTCTACACCAAATCTTCCACTCCTTGATCATTGTATCCCAACGATTCTTAAGCTGGTCTATGGTGAACCTCACACCCTTCATTTCTTGAAAAGCTTCCAATATATGTTGCATTTCAGGTTGATTCCCCAACATCTTTTGCTCCACGCATAAGTCCACAAATACTTCCTTGTGTTCAGGTTCCCATGCGGCTTTGGACGTCATAATTCTTTACTATATGCATAGTTATATAAGTAAAGACAAAAAAAAAAAAAAAAAGAATTAGATAAGTAAAGACAACAACAACAACAGAAAAAATAATATATATTTCCAAATTATATCAATATCATATTAAAGGCTTAATTTGACCGGTAATTCTGTTAAAATCGCGGGAAAAAATACAAAAGAAAAATGGCGCGAATCGTGATATGATTGGTTAAAATCTCACAGGATCGCGAAATGATTTTGTCATTCCGTGGTTTGTCAAAACACAAAACAGTAACCAAATCTATACAAAATATACATCCAAATATGTATGGGAATTTTTACATCATGGCTGAATCTACAACTAACCTTAGGACTTATCAATTCCAAAATTTTACATCATGGCTAAAATTTTGGCTTTTGCACTGCTAGAGATGAAGATTTCTTGTTTTTTTCTGAGATTATTAGGCTTCTAAGAGCCCTAATTTATACTGGTCTGAGCGAGTTCTCTAATCGGAAACTTTTTAATTGGCATTGACCAATTTTAATTTGTTTCAATAAAAAATTGATTTATCTTCCTTTTTACTAATTGAGAAGATAGTCAAATTATAATGTTTAATGAGGAGTTACCATAAGTTTACTAGCGATATTAGTTTTTTTTTTGTTTTCTAATAAGATATATAAATGAGTTTGAGAGCGAAATTTGAAGAAAAAAAAATCACATTGTTTGTTTATATTACACATTATTTAATTAATTTAACTGCCGTTTTTTTAATTACACACTAATGAGTTTACGAGCGAAATTTGAAAAATACATGTTATATGTTTATATGTTATGTTGTTTAATTAGATTAATTATTATGAGTGTTTTTATTGTTATGTAGATATTGCATGTTCTTGTTCATACATTTGCAGGACATGTCACTGGTCTTTTGTCAATCAATCTTATCCCACTTACATAAAATATTCTCAATGCCCTGACATTGTTTCCATCTAATCAGTATTGTTGTGTTGTTGTATATGGAAGAAAGATACAAAATCATTGAATAGGAATATGAGAGGTCTTTTTCTTGTGTTAGTCTAGTGAGACCATAATATTTAGCCTATGACTTGGTTACCTGAGAGCTAACAGGTTATAAAAGGAAGTTAGGCAGAATTAGTTGGTCATGCCAGACTTGGCTAGTGTTTTGGTTGAACATTGGTGGGTCGAGAGTTCAATAATTCTTTATCAAAGTCCCTCTATGTGTAGTTCCTTGGCAGATTGAATAAAGAACAGTTTTACTGGTTTTGATTTCTATCAGCGTAATGATTGTTTCCATATAGCTAGAAGAGAAGGCCAAGGACTTGTTCCTCATATACTCTCAAGCAGCAACAAATCTTCTAATCAAAGGCAAGTCGTTGAAAGGAGATTACAGATCGCGTTTCAGCTCGACGTGTTCCTGATGCTCTGCCCATGCTGGTATGATGTTGTCATATATAACCATTTCTCTTATTCAGAAGCTATTGATATAACATAACAGAATCTTCTTTATAACATAACATAGATTAGATCATCATAATCCTTTTTTAACAAAAGAACTTGAACAAGTATTTCCTTGTAATCCAGGCTTTATCCCAATGTAAATCAATGTAAAAAAATATGTAAGAAATTCATCTCAATTTCTTTCATGAGTTTTCCTCTACACATTTAGAACTAACCACACTTCGATTGCAAACAGAAACTTTTCTCTTTTACGCTAAAACAATATACATTTCACAATGTATATACAGAGCTGACTAAACAAATGAGAGAACACAACCTCACATCTCTGACAAAAAATTACTGATTTTCCGGAGCTCCTTAAGTGCTGTTATAGCTTTGACTTGTCCCTTTTCGATCATATTGGTTTTAGCTAAGTTCCCTATCAATCCTGCCTGAACCAGACTAGGTTCTTGTTGGAAGACCAACTCGATTGCCTGAAAATAGGATAGACTAAAATCATCAGAACATTTGAGCATGTAAGGTGGGAAAGAGTAGTTACCGTCAGAGACTACCATACTTGTTACCGTCGTCAGAACCATACGAAAAAACATTTTTACCAGTTCGATAATCCATTTTACTGTCTTTTTAATTATGCTGGTAACCGTTGAAACACACGATGAATATGAGAACTGAGAAGTTACCTGAATGTGTTTGAGCATGGACTGGCCAAGGTTCTTCAGAGTCTTCATCAGATTCTGACTTGAGTCTCCATTGCTGCTAAAAGATAAAGCTTTGGGATGGGACTCAGAATAGCAACCGATATGGTTCTTTTTAATCTCAAAATTGTTGGTTTTTGTGGCATCAGAAGCGTTTCTATCAGAAGTCTCCTCACTGGACAAAGTGCGTTTAAGCTTCCGAAACCACTGCACTATTCCATGTAAAAGCTTGTACTCCTTAGTAATGCCCACAGATTTATCTGTGGAGTCGTCTTCATTAGACTGAGTTACTAGATACTCATTTCTCGGATGGGAAGATATAGAAACAGGTTGATTTACAATACTGCAATCTGAATCATTTCCACTGTAATTTGAAGCTATGGCAGGACTGATTGGATCAGAGGAGACAGATGAATTCTCTTCACTGATTGAATCTATGCTTTTGTCGTTTTCATTGGGAAGCAAATTTGTGCCAGTACTGCTATCTGAATCGTTTTCAATGTAGGTTGAACATCTGACAGGACTGGTTGGGTCTAAGGAGACGAATGAATTCTCCTCACTTGGTGCATTTCCACTTATGATACTCTCTTCGTCTGCAGAATGGAAATCCATAAGGCCTTCCTCAGTTTCTTGAGGAGGACTGTTCTCCTTGTTCACAATCACAGGACAATCAACATTGAACTGCTCAGACGAATATTCAAGCAAACTTTGTGTCACAGGAGATGAATTTTCTTTCCTTTTGCCAATTCCTGACTTAAGATGTGATAGATCAATCACTGCTCGGAAAAATTTTGTCACCTTCAACCACCTCTTTTTCTTCTGTGTAGGAGGACTCTGTTTCTCCAAACAAAGTTTCCTTTCTTCTTCCTCGGCTTTGTGTAGAACTCTCCAGTTCTTCTCCCAATAGCTTTCAGGTGCGATAATCAAAGGAGATCTAGGTGAAGTGGAGCTAGATGGAAAACTTTTAGTTCTTGCAGGTACAGAACTCCTCTGGTCGAAGACACCATTTATTGACAGAGCTGATCGTACATCAGTATCCAAAACCAAAGCTTGTAACAACTTGGCCTTCTGTATTATCTTATTCAGGTCAATGTTCTCTGGAAAATTTAATAGTCTCTGTAGACAGCAGGTTGCATTTTCAGTAGAAAGCAAGGAAGATCTTAAATATAATATCATTGAAACAGTCATTCCCGTAATTAAAGTTCCGCGAGGACAATCAAAGATCCTGAAGCCGTGGTTTCTGCTATCGTCATCATTTGTATCCGTTCTTGCACTATTATCTGCTGAAAATATCTCATCCCACACTAACAAGAGATCCCGAAGCAAAAATTCTCTTCCAAACAAAACTCTCAACCAACGAAGACCAAAGTACTGAGGTTCAACTCCAAGTTCAACTAGATGACTGTGCAAAGATGAATCAACAACAGCCAAAAGACGATAAAATGCGCTACACGCTTCAAGAACTGGAGTTAACCCGGTGTAGGAACCTCTGGCTGGAGAGTAACTAAAGAAGCTAGCCATGGCGAAGCAACCATGAATCCCACTCATTAGAGCATCAAACATACAGTACGCATCATGTTCCATGAATTTTTCAGACAAAACAATCCCAAGTTCACTTTCTGCCCCATAAGAATCAGTCAACATCACTAGGGACTGGACTTCAGGATCAAGCTCATCTAGACTTTTAATTTTCTTTGAATATCCCTGGGAACCAATCCCATCGTCCATAAACTTATTGTAATCAAAGGTATAACTGATATCTCTTTCTTTTAAAGATAAACTATCAAATCTGTCAGTAAAATAATCTTCATAGCTTTTACGCACTTCAGAAAGACGCATGATATCAACATGAAGTACATAAAGGAGGGGTGCCAAAAGCTCGTGCATTCCTGCAAAAAAATGAGAACAAGCAGATAATACATAAGCAATTGAACTCTTAGTGGGAAGTATATGATAAGGGAATTAGCATATTTCAGCAAATCTCATTTCTATAGTCATTTTACTAATCAGGTAGTATGTAGTTTCTTCTTTGTGTTTTCCTTCACTTGTAGTCGATTAAGCAAGAAACAACAGGGATGACACAGACCAATAAATTGCAGCTCACAGTAAAAACAAAGGAAGGCTTCAAACATGTACCTTGCCTATACCCATACTCAGGATGCTTAAGGCACCACAACAATAGAATGCGTCTTAGCATTCCTTGGCATCTCGCTGTTTGAAAAAAACACCGGTGTTCTGGATATAACCTCGATAAATCTTGGTCCAGTGTTTTCTCCAACTCAGCGTTACGAAAGAATTGACCCCATGTGCTATCTGCATAGAAATGATTTTAAACATGATTCACTCTAAACACACTAAGGAAGTGCAATCAATATATAGTTTCAATACTGCCTTTAAACTACATGTGTTGATGTATATGCTTTCAAGATAAGCTCATTCAAATAGCGATATATGTTGATGAGATTAGATATGCTATGAGCAAAGGAAACAGAAGCTTACTCGGATTTTGGGACAAGGGGTTGTCAATTGAAAAATTAGAGGAACTATCTTCATGTTTGAGTACATGTGAATCGATCAAAAGTCTTCTCCTGAGAAGAGCGTATCTACATGAAAAAACATTGCATTACACGTTATTGATTCATTGAGGACCATGAATCATTAACAACCATTTTCAAATCCGGTTTTTTTGATATGAGGTTTAGGGTTTATGAACCTTCGGCGAGAATTGGCTGCTGCTTTACGAAATTCATCGATTGAAGAAGCCAAAGACGGAAGAACTCCGAGATTCACGCGCCACCGAACCCCTCTGAGATTAGCGAAACGACGATCTGATTCGTCTGCGCTACTCAAAACCAATGATCCCGACGGTTCTGGTAAAGCTGGCTCGATCTCCGACGGAGCCATAGAGCTTAATCCTCTTTTGCTTCTTTATCAATTCCCAGTTGAATCAAACAGCTCCGTAAGCAAACTATAACCAAACCATAAACAATGTTAATTCTTCATGAAACTACTTATCACAAAACCTCCCATTTGCGTTGTTTATGATGATAAAGATTTACGTAAGAAGAAGATAGGAATTTTGTCTGTTGCGTGAGAGATTCCAGGCGCGAAGATGATGATGATTGATTAAGAAGAAGAAGAAGAAGAAGAAGCAGCTAAATGCTAGTAATTAAATTAAAATTGAATTTGTCTTGTACTCTTTGTTCTTTTGTTAATTCTTATTTGTAACCTAAATATGGGTATTGGTTATTAAAATAAGAGAATATATACAAACTAACCTTTTGACTTGAAAAGAATTAACAAACTAACCTTTGACCAAATAGTACTCATTTGCTACAGAATTTTTGGTAACTTTTGGTTTATACTATTATCCTTCTGTTTTTTTTTCTCTTTCTTTTGTTTCTTTCTCCTTCCCCTACGAGACTTAACCATGAAGCTCTCTTTCTCTCTCACTGAATTTCTCTTCTTTTTTTTTTTGCCAGAACTCATCACCAGATTCACCATGAATCTTTTTTTTTTTCCTCAATCTCTCTTCTTTTCATCGAATCTCTTCTCTACTAGATCTCTTTTTCTTTATCCATATATTCCTATTGTCAGATTTCTTCACCACATGTTCTCTCTTTATTTTTTCCTATAATTCTCTCCCTCTCATCTTCCTTGGTCGTTCTCTGTTTTCCATTATCGCCGAATTTTTCCACCACTCTCCGGTGTGATAAGAGATTAAATCTGATTTTAAAACACATGACTAATTTTTAAAATGCATGTATTTTAAGGAAAAACGTACTATTACCGCTGATATATAAATATTTGTCACGCTATCCAATAAAAACCAATGAAAGTTTTTAACAATTATATATATTTGTTAATACTTCGTGTTATTTAGGAAAATGGTATGTTTTTTGTAAATATATCGTGTTATTTCAGAGAAACACATGAATTCTTCAACCAAACTTGTGCACAATTATTAAAAACTTTCACCAGATTCACCATGAAATCTTTTTTTTCTCATTCTTTCTTTTTCTCATCGAATCTCTTCACTACCAGATCTCTTTTTAACAATTTTTTTTCTAGAAATCTCTCCCTTTCATCTCTCTTGGTCGTACTCTGTTTTCCCTTCTCACCGGATTTTCTCCACCACTCACCAGTGTGATAAGAGATTAGATCTGATCTTAAAACACATGTCTAATTTTTAAAACACATGTATTTTAAGGACAAAACATGCTATTACCCTTAATATATAAATACTTGTCACGCTATCCAATAAAAATCCATGAAATTTGTTAACAATTATATATGTTTGTTAATACTTCGTGTTATTCAAGAGAATAGTATGTTTTTGTAAATATATCGTGTTCTTTAAGAGAAACACATGATTTGTTCAACAAGAGTTATTGTAACTACTGTCATCGACGTTATTGTAAAAACAAGAAAACAGAAGGATATTTTAGTATTTATCCTACTCCAGAAAAGGTTATTTACCTAATTTTTCTGACACAAGGCTATTTTCTTAATTCTTTTCTATTCTATGGCTAGTTTCTAATATTACCCTTAAAATAATGTTGAGAAAAAGGTATTAAATATCAGTAATTGTCACATGTCACTAAAAATACCACTTAATTGAAATACCCTATAATCAGATTTTTCTATGAGACCATTTCTCATTAATTAATTGATAAAAATATAATTAAATTGAACATCTGTTAATTGCTTATGAATACCATTATTGTTCCAACACTAGATTTTACTTCACGGTACACCACTGATCAATATTATATAACTAAAAGTTTAGAATTTTAAATTATATTTGTTTTGTTAATATTGTTCGTTTTGTTTAGTGTTTATGATTGTAATAATTGCATCTTTATTGTTAATTCTAGGATTTCATCCATAGTATACCGTCCCGTATTAATATCGACTCAAACCCGTCCCATCATATAACCCCGTCCCGTGAAATTAAACATCATTTTGCTATTTTTCTTTTTAATAATATTTTTATTTAAAAGACATAATTCGAAGCAATTTAAAAGTTTGATTTAAATGGTTCTCATAATATATATATTTAACTGTTATAGAGTTCAAATATTTTTAAATTTATAAATATTAATACCGTCTCGTATTAATATCCTTAATAAATATTTATAATGCTTTAAGTTCTTATAATTCTATAAATTATAAATATTTATAATATTTGAAACCTCATAAAAGTTTTAGTATTATAAATATTTAAAACATTTTATAAGTTGAACTTTTTAAAAATTTCAATTTATTAAAATAAAGAACCAAAGTAAACCGGATAACACTTTTGATTTTGGACGCCTGATAAATCAAGCTTCCTGCTCAAAGTCATATTATAACACTTTTTATAATATGACTCTGAACCATTGTCTAATTTGTTTAAGAAATGTGGGACATTGTACACATATTTTTTCTTCATCGATTAAGTGATATATGCCTGTTTTTAAAAAATTGAATCACATCATATGCAGAAAAAATTCTAATATTTTATAAAGGATTTTGTGCAATAAAACCCTCAAAGTAGCCCATTTTTGCAACTTTATCTTCCATTTCTGAAAAATGCTGAATAATCTTATGAAGTAAAAAATAATAGGCAATATAGCATTTTTTTTGCTATTGTCAAGTTTTTCTAAAATTTGATAAGTAATATATCAAATTGAAGCCATAGAAACGAGGAGTTCAACTCTACCTTTATATTTTAAAAAATAAAATGCATGTGGTCGTGAATACGTTTTCAATATATGTTTAAGGGCTATATTGCGTATTATTTTTGATTTCGTAGGATTGTCTGTATTTTTCGGAGGAAGAAGGTAAAGTTGCAAAAATGGGCTACTTTGAGAGTTTTATTGCACAAAACTGTTTTATTAACTATATGTACAATATTTATATAAATTCACAATAAATAAAATATAAGGTCAAATAAAAGTGAAATAAGAATCATATTTTTAAACTAAGTAGAGAGATTTTAGAAAATTAGTCATTGATCGAATGTAGTTGAAAAAAAATAAGATTTAAGAGAGAATTAAGGACATAAATCGTTTAGGACAATATCTTCAAATATATTTTCGGAATGTTTAGAATTTAAGACAGGAGGATTGGAATGTAAGTAAGTAACAACTCAAGGATTTTTGGCCAAAAACCCTCCAAAAATATCATGTAGATAAACGCAGAGATGCTTTTAGTGCTAGACCAACAAATTCAACTTTGTTTATTAAACAATAAAAAAATAAATATAAATTCAACACTATTTTTCTTTTGAATCAAAAAACCAACTTGATGATCTATACGGCATGGACCATGCTTTAGGATAATAAATATCTTCGGAACTAGGAATTGATTCGCAGTATACTGCGGAACGATTTATTTATTTTTAAATTTTATGATCATGTTATTTTGATAAATTATAACACTATTTCGCTGTATAATCCCGTCCTGAAATATAATTCATCTTGTGTTATTTTAAATTTTTTATATGTTCAAATATTTATAATTGACCAACTTGTCTCTCTTCTAGCAATAATTATCTCAGCCAACTTGTCTCCCAAAAGAAACTCCAATCGTCGGTCTGTTAGATTGGTCTATACTCTACACCAAACATGTTCTTAGAATTGCAAAACCAAGAATTCTAACATTTGAATAATGTGTGTTAAGGGGTCTTTGTCTTCGGAAAACGTATCGTAATGAAAGGTGTTTACCCCTCAAATTGAGGCACATAAAAACAAAAGGCCACATTTAGATTTGCATTTTTTTTGTATCAAAATTACTTTTGTATACATTCAGATTTATTTTTGTATCCAAGTTAAACACAACAAATCATGACCAAATTAAGAGAAAAATAATTGGTTTTTATATTAAAAAACCAACAGATTCACACATGAACAAATCATTGCTATTAAAGAAGAAGATTCAAGAAAAAAAGTTTAAAGGATGCGTAGATATCTAATTTCGTCTGATAAAATAAAGAAATTATGACTTATAAATTTATATACTGATGTAGTGCTCAATCATCAATTGATCCGTATAGATAATATTCTGCTTAATGATCATTAGGGATTTATAGATCACCATCCTTTTATATTAACGTCAACATGTTGAATTGAATTAAATACTTTGCCATGATGTTGGAGATTCAACTCAAATCATATGAAATGGTTCAATTAATAACATGGTTTCTCCGAGCCCCAAGATTAGTCTTTGGACCTAGAAAGTTTTTAGAACCACTTGAGTTATCAAAATAAATGGTCCAATTAATAAGATAAATGTCGGTATATAAGAAATAAATTTATCATCTAACCCATTGATTAGTTTGTGGAAGAAAAAGAGAGATTTTGTGCCCATAATAAACATTTTTTGTGACACATAACATCTATAAAACTGTCATGGAAACAGTCTAACCATGATGTTTATAAGAATAAGAGATGACGCCAAAACATAATTACTATTGGGTGGTTTGTGAGAAGTGTGAGTTGTTAATTTTGTAAAGAGCTAAACAAATACATTGAACGATTTTATAGCTGAAACTATGAAATTGCTTTGGTTTTTCATATTAGAGTTTATTCTTTGCCTATATATATTATGAAAATTTGAATTCCAAGATTGTTCCGGCGAATAAAAAGAAAATAAATTGATATTGACGAACTAAAGGGTTTGGAGCTTATTCACACCCAAATTTTAAAATCTTTAGATTTGTTCATTGCACGTACAAAATTTTAGGATTACAAAATATATTTAACTCATTAATAGATAAAGAAAATATAGCGAAATTTGTTATCATAATATATTAGCCTTTTCCATGTATACGAGATGCATAATCTCATGATTCAACTTTGTTCATTTGATTTCCATCTTAGAGTGGTCTTATGATTGATTGCATATATGGGGAAGCGAAAGATGTAAATCATCAAACGGTAAAAAGATAGATAATGAAGGTTATATCTATGTCTAGCCGGAAGTAATGTTGATGGTAGAACGATGGGAATAAAGGGAAATATCCTACAAAGTTTGAAGAGACGTAATCCCAAATGATAGAGAACATAAAATTTAGGATTAATTTTTTTGGTGGTTCTGGTAAAATTTCGAGAATGCAAGGAGACTAGATTTGTTACAGTTTTTTCTGTTTTTCCCTATAGATCTTTCTATATAGCTGGTTTGTGACATTACAAACGATTCACCAAGAACGTTTTTTAATGATAAAAGTCACAATTCTGTTAAATTTTGACATGTATCCAAATCTCATGGATTAAACCTTATATATATATATATATATATATATATATATATATATATATATATATATATATTGATATTTAATATATTTTAAAATCTATTATAAGAATTTAATAATTCAAAAAACTAAATTGATTTTTTCAACTAATTTGAAAGATGATTATTGTATATCATTGTTCAATCTAATTTTCTTTGTGTGTATTTTTTTTTTTGTCGAAAAGAAATTATATTGAATGAGAAATCATTACAAAGTGTTCGAGCAATTGGCTCACGAGGTGTTTCAGAACTTGAAATTGAGGAGAACCTATTACAACAAAGTTTTGATAAGAGATGCGCAACTTGATTACAATCTCTTCTAGTATAAACGAATAGAGTTCTATCGAATTTTAGGGAACAATATACTATGTCTTGAAGGAGGCTTTGAATATTAACATTGCATTGTTTGCCTAATATGGTATTGATTAAGACCTGACAATCTAATTTTCTTTGTTATTTTTTTTTTGGTGGGCGTTTTCTTTGTTATTTTTGTAATGATATATTATTTGATATTCAACAAATTAAATATCACTCTCTCAAATTTAGCTAGGGAAAATCCCATAAAAAAACCTTCAAAGTGGCAACCTCTTGCACTTTAAACCTTCAAGGTTTTGAAATCTCACAATAAACTTTTAAAGTGACAATTTTGTTACTTTAAACCTTCAAAGTGGCTTTCGTATTTGTGGCCTCACAATATCATTAATAATATATTTTAAAATTCAGAAATTTTTTTTTTTGCTTCTGGATGAGTGAGATCAAATTATAGATCAAACTGCTAGATCATAGAACAAGGTTTTTGGCGTAAATTTCTAAAGGATTGATTACACTGAATTTTTAATTTTTTCTTAATTTTAATATATTATTTATGATAAATAAAAAAATTTATTACAAATAATATTAAAAATTACTTATTAAAGCTACGTCATTATTTATAACGAAAAACAAATATGTTTGTTGATAAAATAAATGTTTTCCTAAATTTACGTGGATCCGCGAACACAAATGTTACTTTGAAGGTTTTAAATAACAAAAATGTCAATTTGATGGTTTAATGTGAGAGTTCAAAACTTAAAAAGTTTAAAGTGTAAGTAGGTGTCAGCTTGAAGATTTTTTATGGGATTTTCCGAATTTTTTTATGAAATAATTATATAGAAATTGACAAGAAAAAAAATAAAATATATATATGAAATAGGTCTAAAAATATAGGGACTGGAATATAAATTGGTTTCATGAATATAAAACAAACTAGTATTAGACCCGTACTTCGTACGTGAATAAAATAGTTTTGAATACATTTGAGTTTGTGTTCTTATTTTGATAACAGAAATGCATTGAGTTATTTGCCTCTAAGTAAGATTTTTCTGTTTTTCATACATTGGTTGGATTCTTTTTGTTTGTTACTAAGTTAGTGTGTTATGCAAACATAGTTAGTATAACATTTTGACTTTTATGTCTTTTCCTAAATTCATAATCGATTTATCATAGATTTAATATTATATCACCATTACATTGATCTTAAATGTTTTGAAGACAACAAAATAACATTATCTCTAAATTTTACTTTTGTTGGTGTTGTCGCTTTGATCTTTCTCGGAAAACTGCAACTCGTCTTTGTTATGAAAACTCCATTGAAACTCAGCTTGAACGACATTTAGTGCTTAAACGTTTGAAACACATGTTTTTGAATTTTTACTTGCTTCCTCTGTATATTGTCATTCTGTGTCGTTGTTGTTCAGGTTTCGCTACGCCTCGTCAGCCAGGATCATCTTCCAATCCTTTGATCGCTTACCCATCCACACCATTGTTACGTTGTATGGGAATAGCCTGTAATAGTCCACCTTCAAGAGAGAAACATAGTTAGATGAGATGAGAGAGATAGGTTATATAGGGACATAGTATAGCAAAGTTAAAATAATCGTCACAGAGATAACGAATGAAAGAAACATAGTCAGATGAGAGAAATGGGTTAACAATGTACAGCAAATCACAATCAAGTAATTTGAAAGAAACATAAGTTTGCAAGTGAGATCCTTGAGAAACAGATATGAAAGTTCTATAAGTCAAATACTTACTTATCTTATACGGAAACAAATCAATTTTGAAATTGCAAACTCCTCACATTCTGAACAAATCTTTCAATCAGTCAAATCTTGATTCTCATGATCGGATATTTCAAGTAGGCATTTGATTAACACACAAAGATTGAGATTGGAAGTACAACTCGTTATTTTAATCAAGTACACCAACTCTTGTATCTCCCGTATGTGGAACAAAGTATAATGTTCCCATTACGTGTCCTGCTAGAAAAGAAAAGTTTAGTAAATATTATTTGGCATTTTTTTTAATTGTTGTCGAATTTACGTGAGTTTATTCAGCTTACATTGTCTGCAATGGACAAATGCTAGCCATGTACTGCTTTTCAAACCATTTGAAGTCATTGTCATGCAAAAAAAAAAGAAAAATAAATGTGTGAAGTAAGAACTCACCACCAACGTCCAAGACAGGAATCTGAGGAGACTGAGTACGTGAGAGAGCTAGAGACGTAGCAGGCTGAGACATATATCTCCGATGCTTCTGCATGAACCGTTGAGAAACACATATATCTCCGATGATTCTGGACCATACAGAGCAGCCCGCATGAACCGTTGAGAGAAATTAATGATTCAAAATTTCAGAGAGCAAACAAATGAGTGTGAGTTTATCGTGAGTTAAATATATAGAGGATGATGAAACGGTACCAACGATCTTGAGATCGTGAAAACGTGGTGACGGTGGTGTGGTAGTGGTAACTTGTGCGAGAAAATTCAGGGATTTTTAAGAGAAGTTGCGTGATGTGTTTTATTGTTTATTTGATTTTTTAAAATTTTTTAAAAATTGTGAAATATAAATCTATGTGGCATTATTTGATTGGCCAGGTGACTTGTGATTTATAGTATAAAGGATTGGATATAGATTGTCAAATAGAGGGGTTGAAGTGTAAAAACGTTAATAGTGCAACAAAAAAGTAAAGTTGAAGGCGACGACGAACCCAAACCGCACAGCTTCGTCGGTCGCCGCCGGTGACTGAACCGACCAAGCATGATCAGCAAGTAACCTATCTCAGTTCTGTATCAATTTTTCGATTTAGATCCGAATAGACTTGATGGCTTCTGGGTTTGCATAAATTTTTGTTCTTTTATCATATACACTGCTCAACAACAGTTTTAATATGATCTTTGAACAGTTTACATTACTTTGTATATGTAATGTCTGTGTTTCGTTATATTCATCTTAAATTAACTGACTTCTTGTGTATCACTACTTTTAAAATGAGGAATTTTATGTGTGTTTCTGTGTCTGTTTCACTATATGAGTCTGATATGGCTACTACAGATGTTTAACTTCTCTGTTATTGAATCATGATAACTATTGCAGTTCAAAGACATGGCTTGTCAGAGAATATAGATGTATCTTCCATTTCACACTAAAGATTTATGTTACATACTAGTGATCGGTTTGTGCCACATAAATGTATCTTTTCTGGTCATTGGGTTCAATTGGAATAGGTCAGGCCAAATAAGGAGCTTGAGAGTCTTGTCATGTTCGGTATCTAGCTTTTCTTGTCATGTTCCTTCTGAGTATCAGAACTCTCTTTACACTTCTAGTTCTGAAACTCTTTACTCTCTTTTTGAATAGGATATCTTCAAAAGTGAAGCTAGTCTTCATACTGGTTCTGAAGCATTACTCAATGATATCCTTTCGGATGACACTGAGAATGGTGATTATGATCCTGGAACGAAGGAAGACGGAAATTGCATTTGTGGCTTGGAAAATGCAGGTGGTGAAGATGGCAACAGAATTTTTAGCTAGATTGAGCTGCTCGTCTAATGGTGTATAGGCTTTTCTAAAGGATTCAGCAGCCGTGATTTAGAACTCCAAAATGAAGGTCGTGCATTTGTAAATAGCAGCATTGAAGAAGTTGTATCCAGGCCAAGACAATGGAGAGCGGTGGACTAAACTATGTGAGTACCTTTGAATTTTAATCCCTTTATTTGTTTACGGGAGAAATATAGTGATTTGCTCTAGAAAAATGCAGAGGAAGAAATTCTTGATATACTTCAAGGTCGGAGTAGAAGAAACTCCTTTTTTGAGATTCTCCGTAGTTTACACATAAAAAAAAGCATGCCAGTGTTGTTTATTTATTAACCAACTTGGTAAGTGTTTCCAATGGTATGAGAGACTCATATGATTTGTCTTTCAATTATTTCGCAAGACTGATAATGCTAAGTTGTTTTATCCTTTCATGCTCACAAGACTACAAGAGTAACCACCTTCTCGTTATGTAATGATTCCAATTCAAATTTTTTGCAACACTATTGGTAAACTGTTATAGCTTATGATTTCATTGTTTATAATTCAGAAAGGACTGCTTTTTACATGAGCAAATTTTTGAAGGCAAAGACTGGGGTCTAAGTAACAGATACAAACTTGTAAATATGTGCAAACGTAGTTAGAGAGACCCGGATGGAGAAACATCTAAGAGGAGGAAAGACTCGCTGTAGAAGATGAAGGTATAAGTTCTATTTTTCAAACTTCACAGAGGTGTTGTTAATGTCTAAATTTGCTTCCTATTTTCCAGTTTATTCTGTAGTTTAATATCTGATTGCTGGGTCTAAAATGTTCTAACTGCTGGCATTATGTAGCAGTAAGTTCATCATGTGTTTGCAGAACCATAAGGGGCATTGTTTTCACAAAATTTGGATTTGAACTAAAGAAGGTATCCGTGAAAAAAAGTACTTGTTTCCAACTTTTATATCCAGCATCCAAAGTTAGAACGTGTTAGGCTTTAACATCGTCATTCAAATAGCTAATAAACATTGGTTTGTCAGTGTCGGTTCTTCACAAGCTCTATTGTCGGTAATCATATACTTAAATTCCATTGTCAGGTCAGCAAATGGTGTAACACCATCTGACAGTAAGGAGTAGGAAGGTGGGCTCTAAGATATCTACACAAGGTTTTGCTCAACAACCTTACATTTCTAAGGCACTCTGAAAATTCTGGGGCTATAGCAATCAATGAGGACAAGACTGAGATTAATCAACTTCAAGATTCGGCTAACGAGACTGCTTCACTCAGCAGGCAAGTGTCTCTTTTTTTCCTTCAACCGCACATTAAAAGACATGATTTAGCAAAGCTAGTTTTCTCGTTTAACTCTTAGGTGTAAGCGAAAAACGGAAGTTGAAATTCATGATTTAATACTGCTCTCATCTTTTTTCTGACCATTGCCATTAGCCGGCACATTCTTTTCGCAACTTCTAAAACGTCACATCTTTTTCATTGTCTGAGTTTAGGCCTTTGACGAGCTTAAACAAAGATATGAGCTTAAAGCAACTTCTAGAAGACAAAGAGACAAGAAGTGGACGACTTTGAAGCAGTAACGAAGAAGCTTCCTTTAGAACTGAAGCACATCCATTGAGACTTAGAACCGAGAAAACCCAGGAAAATTTTAGGCAAGTCTTCTTGTTTTACTCCAAGAGGACTCAATAGCAGAGACTTTTGAGCTTCTTGGAGAAATGTTGTTATGTTGCAGAATTAAATGTAGTTTTGTATTGTTTGATCCTCTTGGAATTAACAAGGCTAAGTCTTGACACATGTAGCTTTGAACTTTCTGTAACAGTGTAACATCTATGTTTGTAATATAAGAAATGCCAAAGTTTTGTGTTTCTCATTGTGATTTGGTTTACAAATATTGAATCTGTGAATTTTCTCTAGTGATACAGTTTCAGATTCAGGGATTAGAATGCAAGAAACTAAAAAAAATGACCCTTTTTACACAAGAACAAAAATCTGAGCGGTTTAATTATAAATTAGATTTTGAAGTTATAAATATAAATTTTCCACAGGAAAATCAAAGAAAAGTTGTTTGCCAGTGAGTTAGAGAGAGAGAGAGAGAGAGCGATAGAGCGAGAGAGAGCTTGCGTCAGTGGAGGAGTCGGAAACTTGAGAAACTTGTGTAGAAGAAACGCCATAACTCGGAGAAACCCAAACGAGGATTTAGCTATTGTGTCTCTTCGTAGTCATCTGGTAAATGCGAGATTGTTCTTCTTGTTACGAAATTGTTTGTTTGTGTATCGCTGTTCATTGTATTGTTTGCTGTTTTGTACTGGATTTGGCTGTGATTTGTGAGGTATGTGAAGGTTTGTGCAATTACTTGAATTGGATTTTGGTGTTTAGTCTCCGATGCTTTTGTGCCTATTGATTGTGTTCTAGGGTTTTCATAAGAACGAAAGTCTGTTTTGTTGTGAGTTTCTCAGGCTATATATGACTGAAAGATTGAAATTTCTCAGAGATTGTTGAGATTAAGACTTGAATTTTAGCATAGAAGGGGAATTTACTTACTTCACAATCGTTTTATGCAACATGGATTTAAGATGCTATAGATATGTTTAGCTTGAATCTAGGTTGGAGGGTGCATGGCTTTCCAGATTTGAGTCACGGTAGATCCGAAGCTTTTTGGTTTTCTCAACTTGGGTGCTGGATTTGGATTTCAATAGCATCTAAGAACATCCTGGACTATCTGAATGGAAAGTCTGCATTTTTGTCACTAGAGGGACCAACTTGGTTAGGAGTCTATTTTGTTTTTTCTTAGTGAGGTTGGAGTTGATGAGAACAATATGTGTAGGCTTAGAATGCAGTACCACAAAACTATTCAATTAAGAATCAGAAGAGCAACCCTTTGGGCTCTTGATAAATGACTGGGGTTAGTATAAAACAATGGGTTGGTCTAAAATTATGTACGGTGAAATTGATCCAAATTAGTAATCAGAAGATAACTTACTCTTTCTTTCTTTTTTTAACTAAGGACTTGGTTTCTTGGATACTGACTCTGTTCCATGTTTTGCTTTCGACATTTAGGAGATCAGGAGGATATGAACTCTACCATTCCAGGGGGACTACATGAAGAAGTTGACCAACAGATTCATCGGTACTTAGAGAAGTAATGTGCTTTCCGATACTTTTGGGTTTATCAGGAAAAGATGTTGGTGGAAAGTTCGTTCAGCCCTTCCGTTGAATCTAGTCTACTGAACGTGTCCGAGTATCAAGATCCATTTGCTACATATGATTGGGCTTCGCTTGCTGAAACTTATCAGATGATCCACAAAGTTCCCGAACAGTCTCAAGTAAGCTTTTGTAAAGCTGTTCCAGTCACTGATGCAATGAATCTTGATGAATCAAAACATCCAAAACATCACAAAGTTCCCGAACAGTCTCAAGTAAGTTGTCCAGAGAAATCTGTTATGCACAAGGTATCGGGAAAGGCCCTGACTTCTCTTGTGTATCGTCGAAGGAAGAGGAGCTTAAAGCTTGGGGGAACTGAGGAACATAACCTAGGAAAAACCAGGAAACAGGATGATTCACTTGATGACTCTATTGTCTCTTTACATAACACTGGAGAAAGTACAAAAAGGAAAAATCGCTTCAACAACTGTCTTGTCTATAGCCGGAAAAAAAGGAGAGGGGAATCCAGTTGTACTTTTACAGGAGAAACTACGATAAGGGGTGCTGGGCTTGATGATGCTTTTGTTTCTAAGCATGACTGTGGAGAAACCAGGAGAAGAGGCAATCGATCAGATAATTGTCTTGTGTATAGCAGAAAAAAAGGTAGAGTGAAATTTAATAGTTGTACTTTTAGCAAACATGTCACTGGAGGAACCAAGATAGGCTGTGATCAAGCTGACTCTTCTGCATGTAGCCACAGGGGACAGGTAGTTAAAGCTGATAGTGCTTTTACTGGACCTAACCCTGGAGAAATCAAGAAAAGTGGTCATCAACCTGTTTACAATCAAAGCAAGCAGTTAGTGAAATCTAATGGGAGTTTTACTGAAAGTCATGTTGGGAAAACCAAGAGAAATGGTGAAAAATCTGATGTCTTGCTGACATATAGCCGGAGGAAGCAGAGAGGCAAATCTGTTGGTGTTCGGGTTAATGGCTTTCTAGTTTATACCCGGAAGAAGTTAAAATTCAGAGGACCTTTTGCTAGACATGACCTAAGAGAAACCAAAACAAATGGTGATCAACTTGTAGATGATACCCAGGTTACCGAAGTGACATATTCTTCAGATGGAACTAATGACAGCTGCTCGTCATTGAAATCCAGTTCTGAAGTTGATTCAAGTTCGAGTACAACTGGGGAAGATGATTGCTATTCCTCTGATGCTGTGGTGTCTGAGACAGATACAGACGGTAGTAGCGGCCCTTTCAGGCTGTGTAAACATTGTGATAAGCCAGGAACTGTCGAAAAGATGCTAATTTGTGATGAATGTGAAGAAGCATATCATACAATCTGCTGCGGTGTACTAATGAAAGACATCGCAGGGATAGATGACTGGCTCTGTCCATCCTGTTTGAAAAATAAGCCATCAAAGACCAAGACGAAGGGGAGAGTTTCACGGGAACGGAAATGGAGAGTTACAGTACCATTGGTAATAGGAGTTCGAATAGGAAAAAAGTTTCAAGCAGATGTTCCAGACTGGTCAGGTCCAACAATGAGGTATGCACTTCGATATTCAACAGTCCTTTAAATTATTGTGATATCAAAGATGTCTGTCTACTGGTAAATGAGTTTTGTTCCTGCCACCAAAATGAGTGGCCTTTGTTTTATTTGGTTGACATACAAAAACGTTTTGATCTCAATGCAGTGATACTTCTTTTGTGGGTGAACCCTTGGAAATTGATCAGTCAGAATACACGCATGTAAGCTCTCAGTATAGTGGATAAGCATAAGTTTATGTTTTCATAGAATTGGCTGGATTTCAGATAGCTGCCATTCTTTTCTCTTTGCAGGATCTCAAGAAGGCCAAGAATAGTAAGAAACAATGTTCTGCAGTGAATTGGCTTCAGTGCAGAGAGGAAGATAGTAATGGAGATATCTGCGGAAAGTGGCGTAGGTAAGTTAAACAATTTTGCATGTTCCATTATTTGGTTCATGCTGTCGCCTTTTCATCAGGCTTCTTATCAGTTACCAATATCTTCTTCCTTGTCTCATATCTATAACTCAACCACTGGTGTAAAATGAATTTACTCAATATGCTTAATTTGACTGGATATAAACAGGGCCCCTCGTTCAGAGGTACAAACCAAAGACTGGGAATGCTTCTGCTGCGTCTTTTGGGATCCATCACGTGCTGACTGTGCCGTCCCTCAGGTCAGAAACTGTCTTTACAACTATCTTTTTTTTTCCTCAAATGAAAATCCTTCTGAGGGTGAAAAGTTAGCAGCCGTGAGAGTCTGGTACTTGGTAAAAGCAGTGAAAATTCTTGCACCGTCTTGCTTCATCTTTCTCCATGAACATGTCATTTGGATTTTTGAACAGATTTCTTCATACTCCAAAAAAGCCTTTAAAGTTTATACAATGCATCTTGTGTTCATTTCTTCAGGAACTGGAGACAAGTGAGATCCTTAAACAACTCAAGTACATCAAGATGGTTCGTTATCTTTCTTGTTACTTGTTTGATCTTTCCCGACCATTATTTGGTTCATGCTGTCGCCTTTTCCTCTGCAGCTAAGACCTCGATCAGACGCCAAAAAGCGAAAGCTAGGACCAAAGGGTCGAAGCAGAACACATAACAAAGGAAAATCTTGATGGACACAATCAAATGCATATGCTTTTGGATTAGAGACCTTAGAAACTAGAAAGGTAAACTCAGAAAATTTTTGTGAAGCGCCAATGAGTTTTGTACCACTTGCGAAACTTGAGGATATCAAGTTGCTCTATAAGTGATTAATTAGGTTCAGATCTTTTGTTAGCTCCCAAAACAGGAGTAGTGAAAATAGAACGTTTGTATTCAGGGACAGGTTCTGAGTTAAATCTGAGAATCATCTTTAATGCAACAAAATCTAAAAACAGCATGTGTCAAAGCATTCTGCTGAGATTAGATTCATTTAGGGAAATGAGAATACACATTCAAAGCTTGGATCTTGGACAATAGTGAAAAAAAAATTACAGTGTGAGTTGCAGAAAATCTGTTGCCAATATCACAGAGAGAAACAATGGCGGCAAATCACCATCCATATTTAGCTTGTGTCTCGGCTTTTGTGAGCAATCCTCTAGAACGTCTCTCTGTCAACTCCGACTCCTTGTGCTTCATGTCCATGAATAATGCAGTGATTTGATGCTTCCTCTTGTGAAGCTTTGACACTTTCCCTTTAGATGAAGATGTTGCCGGCTGCAAGACAAATGTAAACAAAGACAGCATTTAAAAAGCAATACAAAGAATTCCAAATCTTTTTTACTGTGAATAACACACAATAAAATTGGTATGATAACAAGTATCTCTCTTCCTATACATCCACAAAGAAAATTTTCAGCAAAACAGAAAGAACTTGACAATGGAACCCCCAAACAATAGATAATCTGCAACTCAAATTCTATTTTCTTCTTCTGGTGGTTAAATTTTGGGATTTTCTCAAATATTTGATTACCTAATATGCTCTCTAATGGGAACCTCCTACAAGCAAAGGGTTTAAATTTACAGAGCCAGAGAATATAATAAGAGACCTTAGAGAAAAGACAACTCCCAAGTTGTTGCAAATAAATTTCGCAGCAAGAACAACAAACTTGACACAAACATGAGACAGTAGACAAATTCACAACTCCTACTCTTATACTTCTACCGATTATATTTCAGGCTTTTTCTAAATATACATCACTCAATATGCTAGCTAATGTAAAATTTCTAAGACCCTAGAAACAACTCTCAAGTTCTTGCAGCCAAAAAATTCCAAGCAAGAGTAAAGAGTTTAGAAAGTAAACAAACCTGATACGCAGGTCCAAAGGCGATTCCAGTAGATTTAACCTGATCAACTCTTGGCCTATTCTTCATAAGCTCATCTTGCTTAACCTCAACAATCTCTGGCATCTGGTTCCTCCCTCTCCTTCCTCTCCTCGCACCACTATCCATAGCTACAACCGCTTCGGGCAATCCCGTTGTTGCCTCAAACCCACCACCATTCCATGTATTACCTCCATAGCTACTACCATCATATCCCACACTACCACTAGGATTCGTTTCATATCCACCATAACCAGCAGCATAATAGTTATCTACTCCAACGATTTGTTCCGTTTCGCTATTACTATGACTAAACGATTCATAGCTCTGGTTTTGTTGATCATTACTACCTGAATCCGTTTGAGGAATTGCAATCGCAGGTGTTTCCGTTTCGAGATTCGATCTTCGACCTGATCCTGATCCCAATGAAGGAAGAGCACCTAATGTTTGTGAGCTTTTAGGTGCAGGCATGGCGGATAAGAAAGATCTCACTGATGAATCGTGAGATGCGGAAGCAGATTCCATCTGTTTACGTTTCTTCCTAGCTTTCTCTTCTTCTTCGTCTTCATCATCATCGAGATTGCTCGGTCTAGGGTTTACCGGAAGCCTGATCTGGACGACACGTTTCGGAATTGACGACGGTGCCGGATTTTGTTTCCGTGAAATTGAGGATTTGGGAGGAGGGAGAGAGGAGAGGAACGGAGAAGATTTTCCTCGAGAGGAAGATGAACCAAAATCACCATCTTCGGAGGATTTGAGTTCTTTAGGTTGAGGAATAGCTGAGAACAGAGACGAAGAAGAAGTTCTAGGTTCTGAGGATTTCACAGTGAAAGCTTCTCTACGTGGTTGAAGATCTTCTTCTTCGTCCGATGACGCGTAACTCGCGACCAGAGAGTCCATTAGAGAGAGAGAGAGAGAGAGAGAGTTTGCCGTCGCCGAGAGATGTCGGAGTATTTGTCGTGTATAGATGGGTTTTTTATGGAGAGCTGTAAGGCCCATATAAAAGCCCATTTGTGAAGTCACGTGAAAAAATGTTATGCCAAATCCGATACAGTAATACAAATGTCACAACAAGCAATCAAGCATACTTAGTCTATATAAAAAGTGTCAGAAACATGAAACTCCATTCAATAGATGGATTACAATAACTAAATGACTATGAGTTTATTAATAGCATATATAACATTAGAAAATATATAATTAGTTTTGAAGTCTAATTGTGTTCTTAGGTATCACTTGATACGGTTCTGGATCCAAATGAAGCTCCCTTGACGCCATAGCTAACTGATGGTTCTAATCAGGAGAAGTATGCTTTTCAAGGGGAGAGAATGTGAGCAAGGGTTGGGAGTCCCTCTCCGTTGACAGCTTGGTCTCGGACCTCCAGTGAAAGGCTTCTAAAGCTTATTGTCTTCTGCAGCTCGGCGATCATAATTTGCGCTTGCCCTTCTCCTTTTGCAGCTCTCAAAGGAAGAACAACAAAATTGTCATCGCTTCATCTAACTCCCGTAGGATCTTTTGCTATGGTCGAGTGGATGGACCGAAAATTGCGGTTATTTTATGCTTCCATGTTTTTATCTTTTTTGCCATGGGACCATTTGTCTAGGTTGAAAATCATTGATTGTAAACCTTATATGTTTTCATTTTTATGAAATATTTACATTCTTAGCAAAAAAAAAAAAAGATCCTTCACTCCAAAATACAAGCTCAAATAGTCTTTAAATTGTTGTATAGCACCATTATCATTTTCCGTAATCGCATAGTCATAAATATAAACCAAAATATATATAACTTAACTAGAAAGTATCTCATGCGTTACGTGGATTTAAAACTAATTTATTAAAATATGTAATACTTTATGACTAAATATATATTAAAAATGTTTAGTTACTTTTCGGAACCAAAGAAGAGCCCTTTGATTACTTGTAAATGGTCATTATTTACAAGATATTTATGGAATATAGAAGTACTTATATTCATGTATTCAAACAACTTTTACAACTAGTTCTCTACTATTCATATAACCAACACAATTGGTTTTCTTAATATTAATTATAAATTTAGAAAATATCCATATAATACTCACAATTAATAATATAAATATTTAGAAGATTTTGTTAAGATTTAAAATTATGATTTTTCAACCATCTTTGTTTGACATTTTTGTAATTGCTTTGAATCATCATATAATACATACATTTTCTTCTTCCAACAACTTCAATTTATCATCTTGTTTTCCAAACCATGATATAAGTTCTTCAAATCTCATGGATAGATGCTGCTGGAAACTCTTTCGAAGTTGCTGTAACTCAAGAACTCTCTCCCTCTTCTCATCAAATATTGGGACAATATCTAAACCTACTGCAGCCAGTCCAAATAAGCAAGCAACTGCTGCACTACCAGTTAATTTGGAAAAGGACATGGGTGCAGATTTCGTGTTATAGGATTTTGGCAGAGAGTATTGAGAAGGTATGTTGTTGAGTAGCTTCAGCATCACTGCTGCTTTACTTCTCTGGGCCGAAGACACGGCCTTGACTAGATTTGCAGCAAACGCTTCATTCACCTTGGCATAGCCATAAACTTGATGGTAGATTTGTTGATAACCACATGCCACAAAGTGTAACATGCAGTGCATTACGATGGCTAAACCTACTAACTGCAGTCAGTTCAAAGAAGTATGCAATTGCTTGTCGCAATTATTCAAGATTATTTATATTCAATGAAACTTAAAAAAATCATAATCTTAAATAAGTATCATTCCAGTAAGGCACTAATTTCAAATTAATGCGAACACTTCTTCTCAACAACAAAATATGTGAAATTTTTTAAACTAATTTATTGTTGATGATTTTTTTTGAATAATTAAGAAGTTCTAGGTCCGTACGTTTATTGTTGATAGTTACTATAGTTAGAATCATCTAAACTATAATACTATCTTACTTTACGATCTGTGATAAGTGCATTTTTTGTTGAAATCATTCACTAGAAAACTACTCCCTCTGTTTTAATAATGTATATAGGATGTTTTAGGCTTTTCATTTGTTCCATTTTATAAGATTTTCTCGTCTCTATGCATGATTTATATTATTTTAGTTTTTAATTATTTAAATTATGCAGTATCTTTTCCTATTGGTTGAAGTTTTATAAATGAAAAAATATTTTTATTTTTTATTTTTTGTGCTTTTAGCCAAAACATCTAATAAAATGGAACAGAGAGGAAGTATTATAAAACAAAAACAAAAGGAGTAAGATTTGATTGTTTAATAGGTAATATCTAAAAGATTTTATATAGCAATTATATACACTTGTTGCGTAAATTAAATAACTTAATGAACTTTTCTATTAATGGTACCAATTAATTTTATTGATACTAAATGATTTACTCGGATTTTTAGATTCATTGGCTTTCACATCTTTTATGTGTTTAATTGAAGGAGCGGATGGTTTTTTTTGTCTATATCCAGCAAACTTCATAAAATCACCAAATACGGTGAAATAAAATGTCACATTCAAACCAGATTTAGATAATGTTATAATATACTTAGAATATAGTTCTCCCTTTCATGATTTGAAGAGCATCATGCTTTCGATATTGATTGGCGTCACAAATCATATTTGTCTCTCTAATAAATCATAAGCAACGTGACTGGGCCTTAGATTCCGATAAAAGCCCATTAATGAAGGCCCAATTATGGTTATTTGATGAGAAAACCGGTTTGATTCCTGGAAGAGGAAAAACCGGAATTTCACATCATACCAAACTTTCGTCTCTACCAATCTCTCTATCTCTCTCTGTGCTCGCCGTCGCCGTTATTATTCCGGGCGATCAAAATTAAGACAAGCCATTGTAAGTTTTCGCAGCTACTTGGGTGATATAATGCTTGAGAGAAATGATAAATTTATGATATGGGTTTCTCTCACAACCAAACTTTTTCCACAAAATTGACAAAAATTGTTTCCTTTGTTTTTGTTTCTTCTTCAGATAACTTGTGACCAGTACCTGTTTATGTGGGTTTCAATCCTTAACCTCAAGTCTTCTGGTTTGAATCATTGTTTTACAAGAACCAAGTCTTTTCGATATTTCTGGTCAATAACAAAGGCTTTACAAGAACAAAGATTTCAGAGTGATTCTGGTAAGCTAACTTACTCTGGATCACGGTACTATGTTTCCAATGCAAGGATTGGTTCAAGTAAGCATTTTGGTGAAAGTTTTGATACGATTCTGAAGAATATTGATGTTCCTAGTAACTGTGTTGAAACTATTAGAAATGTGCTTACGAAACACAGTTGGATACAGAAATATGAGAGTGGGTTTAGTACTGAACTTGATCAATACAATGTCATTAGAATTTTGGATGATTTGTTTGAGGAGACTTTGGATGCATCTATTGCTTTATATTTCTTTAGGTGGTCGGAGTTGTGGATTGGCGTTGAGCACTCGAGCAGGTCGATCAGCCGAATGATTCATATTTTGGTATCTGGAAATATGAATTATAGAGCTGTAGATATGCTTCTCTGTCTGGTGAAGAAATGTAGTGGAAAAGAAAGGTCCTTGTGTTTAGTTATAAAGGATCTATTTGAAACTCGTATTGATCGTCGGGTTTTAGAGACTGTGTTTTGTATGCTGATTGATTGTTGCATTAAAGAGAGGAAGGTAGACATGGCCCTGAAATTAACCTACAAAGTAGACCAGTTTGGCATCTTTCCTTCACGAGGGGTTTGTATTTCGTTAGTTGAGGAAATTCTACGAGCTCATGGGTTGGAGTTAGCTCGGGAATTTGTTGAGCACATGCTTAGTCGAGGGAGGCATCTAAATGCTGCCGTTCTTAGCCTATTCATAAGGAAGTATTGCTCTGATGGTTATTTTGATAAAGGTTGGGAATTGCTTATGGGAATGAAACACTACGGCATCAGACCTGATATTGTGGCATTTACAGTTTTCATTGATAAATTGTGTAAGGCAGGGTTTCTAAAAGAAGCGACTTCGGTATTGTTTAAACTCAAACTCTTTGGTATCTCTCAGGATTCTGTATCCGTCAGCTCTGTTATCGACGGGTTCTGTAAGGTAGGGAAACCAGAGGAAGCCATTAAGCTCATTCATTCTTTTCGTCTTAGACCAAACATTTTTGTGTACAGTAGCTTTCTGTCAAATATATGTAGCACAGGAGACATGCTTAGAGCTTCTACCATATTTCAGGAGATTTTTGAGTTGGGACTACTTCCTGATTGTTATTGTTATACTACTATGATTGATGGGTATTGTAATCTAGGCAGAACCGATAAAGCTTTTCAATTTTTCGGGGCGCTGTTGAAAAGCGGGAACCCGCCATCCTTAATAACATATACACTACTTATTGGTGCTTGCAGCAAGTTTGGAAGCATAAGTGATGCAGAATCAGTGTTTCGGATTATAAAAACTGAAGGTTTGCATCCGGATGTTGTAACGTATAACAATCTGATGTATGGATATGGGAAGACACATCAGCTGAATAAAGTTTTTGAGCTTATTGATGAGATGAGATCTGCTGGTATCTCTCCAGATGTTGCAACCTACAATATTTTGATACATAGCATGGTTATTAGAGGATATGTCGATGAAGCAAATGAAATTATCAGTGAGCTTATCCGACGAGGCCTTGTTCCTAGTGCATTAGCATTCACAGATGTGATTGGTGGGTTCTCGAAGAGAGGGGATTTTCAGGAAGCGTTTATTTTGTGGTTCTACATGGCTGATCTTAGAGTGAAACCTGATGTTGTAACATGCAGTGCATTACTTCACGGTTATTGCAGAGCGCAGAGAATGGAGAAAGCTATTGTTTTGTTTAATAAGTTGCTTGATGCGGGGTTAAAGCCAGATGTGGTTTTGTATAATACGCTCATCCATGGATATTGCAGTGTAGGAGATATTGAGAAAGCATGTGAGTTGATTGGTTTGATGGTTCAAAGAGGAATGCTTCCAAATGAGAGTACACATCACGCACTTGTTGTGGGGCTTCAGGGAAAGCGGTTCATGAACTCGGAAGAGCATGCATCTTTGCTACTTGAAGAAATTGTTGTTGCAAATGGCGCCTGATAGCCGGAGGATGATAACAGATCACATTCTGCAACCCAATACAAGCTTTATCTGTAAGTTTTGGCTTTTGTTTACGACTTTACGTTTTGATTTATTTGTTTTTAACACAACGTAATTAAGTGATTAAATTTGTTCATTTAGTACACACAACTTTTAAGTTTCACTTTAATTCATACATATCTCGACAACATTTAACACTTGATTAATCTTCATCGCCGGTGATTTCCACAACTCTCACGTTACGATTCTCCTCTATCTCCGGCAGCTGTTGCGGCGAAGAAGAACCATCTTTCGCAACGAACACGACAAGAAACCCATCCTCCATCCACGCCGTGACCTGATCCTTCAAGGCGTTGTTAGGAAGTTCAAATCTGCTCATGAATTTGTTGTCGCAAGTACAGATCTGGAGATATCCTTCGTCGTCTACGAACACTATCGCTTCGTCTTGATCCACTCCCGGAAGATACGCCTTGAAAACGTGAGCCGTCGGAGTCTCAGTCCAATTGAGCTGCGTCTTGACGGTTGTTGATGATGAAGATGATGGGAATATTTCTCGAGAAAGTGAGGGAAAGTGGTGAGAAAGAAAGAGAGATGGTGATGGGAAATCAAGAAAGGTGTTTATGAGTTCAAATGGTTCCCAGATTCTGTCGCCCGGAGATAGTCTCCGGCGATCGTTTATCGGAATCATCGACATCTTCTTCTTCTCTACTCTAGATAGTAACAGAAGCTGATGTATATAAATCCTAATCTTACTCAAGAGAAGTTCTAGAGTTTTCTTGAGAGTTGAAGCATAAAGCCCAATGGGCTTTTAATAGATAAAGGCCTTATTCTTTTTCTTCTTATTTGACAATGTTTGGTGTTCTAATATGTAGAGATTGTAGGGTTTTGTGCAACAAAAACCTCACAGTTGCCAATTTTTACAACTTTACCCTTCACCTCCAGAAAATATAGAATAGTCCTATGAAATCTAAAATAATAGGTAATATAGCCTTTATGTATAAATTTTAAACGTTTTCACGTTCAGATACATTTGATTTTTTTTAAAATTATAAAGGTAGAATTGAACTCGTCGTCTCGCAGGCTTCGATTTGATATATTATTTATCAAAATTTAAAAAACTTAATAGTAACGAAAAAAGGACTAGATTGTGGCAATCTATATATACATTTTTGGAGTACATTTAGTAAATAAATCCTGGAGTTGGGATGTATTTACGAGTCCATGCCACTACATTTAATTATTTTTTCATATTTAATGATTAAGATTTGCCGTATAACAATATTGCGAAAATATCTCCATATTAACTCAAACGTTAGTTTCTAAAATCTTACCTACGAGATTTTTGAGAGCATTTAATTAATACCAAATTATCATTTTCGATATTCCTAATCTACATATCTCAAAATCCAGGATTTAATTCATAAAATAGATGCAAAAATGTATATATATAAAATATTTATACTTACATTTTTGGAGATATTTTTGAAATAAATCATGGGTTTCACTACAATTTACGATAGACATTTTTAAAGCAAAATTTTAAATTGACTCGAATTGTGTATACAACAATATAAATATTATTCAAAGTATATATAACAAAATAAATTTTACGGGACGGGGTTATATGGTGGGACATGTTTGGGTCGATATTAATACGGGATGGTATACTTCGGGTGAAATCCTAGAATTAACAATCAAATACAATTATATAATTTTAAACACTAAACAAAATAAATAATATTCACAAAACAATTACAACTTAAAATTTTAAATTTAAAAAATTAGTTATAAAAAATCGATCCGAGCTGTACCGCGAGATAATATATATAATATATACATATATATATATTAACATTTAAATCAAACAAAATAATAGGTTATATCTATAGATAATTTTGAAAAAATAATTTTTTTTTTCTTAAAAGCATATAGCCCCGCGGTGTACCGCGGGTTAATTTCTAGTATATAAGTAAACATAGATTTCTTACACCGCGGGTTAATTTCTAGTATATAAGTAAACATAGATTTCTTTTTTTCTGCAATATATTAAACAATTAGTGTAATAATACTATCAAACAGTTTATTTGTTTGGCGGTTGGCCATTCGAATGTTATAGAAAAAAAGATCATTTACACATGTTGAAATTTGAACATTTTAGAAAGAAATTAAAGACTACAAAACAGAACACATTAACTACTACTCGAGGGATGAATCGATCTTCCGTACGGTTCTTGAGAAAGCAAGAATGTCCTCTGGCTTGCGAGTGCCAAGGTCGTTGTCTTTGCGACCATCACCGTCGTTGGAACCTCTGTCTTCCACTATAGATTCACGAACAATGGCTCTCACCGTCGTGTTGTCTTCGGCTTTTCCCGCCTCATTGGTGAGGTCTCTCTTCTTCTCTTCTTTCTCCATTCTCTCTTTCGTTGCCTCCATCTCTCTAGCTCGTTCTCTTTCTCTCGCAGGTGCAATATTTTCTTGTAAGACTTGTCGACTCGAGACACGAGATTTGAGAACATGTGGCACGTTAGAGATGATTACGTGGTGGTGTTTGATGTGAAGGTGTTTTTTACGACGGATACGTGGAAGGTTGAGTCAAATGAAGAGGAAATGTTACAAGAAAGCCCCTCAAACGATTGAAGTATTTCGAAAATGACCTTTTGATCGATCGTTGAAATGAGTTTCAACTTTCATCTAAACAAATCGTCTTCAAACTACATGTGAAAGTTGGTAAAAAAACGGGACTGGTAACGACTAACGCGTGACTCAAACCGGTTTTAAACTTGCCACCAAAAAATTTGTTTTAGCTTCTTATTTGATTTTCGTAGTATTTAGAGTGGAGAATTATATGGAGTAACTCAAATTAATTTGACATTTATTAAGCTTAAAAAGGTTTTCCTATGGATGCTACTAGCTAAAACTATATATAGTAATGTATGTGTGCTTTCAGGATTCACAAGGATATGGATATTGTATACGTCTAGTGTCACAATTTCAACCTCAATCTTGTTAGCTGATCCCTCAAAACCAATGGCTATCTTTTCTTAATTTCTTTGATTAAAACACAAAAGTCTCTAAACATACAAACCATACATACAATATTGACGAAAATGAAGGAAAACACAATTTAATTAGTTTTAAGAAGGAGGTGATCATGCACAAAAGTAATAATTTTCACGGCTATTTTTGTGATTAATGAAAGGGAATTTGAATTTTTGAATTTGAATCAATGTCTATGATCACCTCCTTGGCCATGAATGAATTTTTAAATCAATTTTTGAATCATGGAATCAATGCTTGGTGGTATACTTAAGATGGAGCTTGTGAAACTTTTGGCCATGAATGTATGTTGTTTTCTAATTCAGTTTTTGGATTTGGTTCAGTTTTCTTAATTTTAATTTTAGGTTTTGTTTTTAGATTTTTGTTTCAAAAAAAAAACCAAAAAATGGTTTGTGGTTTTTGATATTTCCCTTTAAATAATTAGTGAGAACACTCCTTTTGATTTGGTCAAAAGATGCCAATATAACAATAAACACTGATAGAAAGAAAAGAGTGATTTGCGTTAGTATTTGACTTTTTAAATCAGGTGGTTAGGAAACTTTGACCACTAATAAAAAAGCCATACTTCTTTAATTACCTAATTAATCTATTTTACTAATGGCTATGATATTTGGCTTAACTTAAATTGATCTACTTCCTTTTAAAACCCACCAAAATTCTCCACCGTACATCTCCTATACTCTCTCCGTACACACACATTTGTTATACCATATTAAGCTTTTAAACTCTCTTTCTTCTATGATCATTTGATCATTCTCTTCTTCTTCTTCTTCTTCGACCATAAACATACATCATAAACACACATATACATATATAGAGAGTGAGTGAAAGATGATATGCGAGGAGGCATATCATCAGCAACCGCAAATACAAAAGGAACAAATGATGACGATGATGATGATGGATCAACGTAATCATCATCAACGGAAGAAATCGCCATTATCGTCGCCATCATCTCCATCATCTCCATCATCACCATCATCTCCATCATCACCAAAATCACCATCATTCAATAATAATGAGGAAGAGAGGCTAGAGGTTGTGAATTTGAGTGGGATGGCATTGGAGTCTCTCCCTAATCCTTCACTCAATTTAGCTCAGATTTGCAAGCTTGATCTCTCCAACAATCATCTCCAGGTTCATTCTAAACTCACAACACACATACATATTCACAATCATGAGACATTTTTCCTGCATGATTCAATACCATATGATCATAAGCATGTACTTTCACATACTAATGCAATTTTGTCTATTTGGATAATAATTGAAAGCATGGCTTCATTTCTCTTGATGAATCAACATTTGTGAAAATGATTTAATGGGTTGCGTTATAGCTAAAAATAAAATTAAAAAATATTGCAATATTTAGATTTTTTTTTTCCACACATTAATTATTTCCATCAATAGAATCGTTTGATTGTTTCATTTTAAAATTTGATATCAGAATAACAATTATGGATCATTCCATTTTATCTTTTGTTTGGTTTGATTCCTAGAAATTTTTGAAAATGACAATTTATTTATGTTAATTTTCAAATAATGTTAGGATTATTTTCCGATTAACTAGTAAGCAGTCTTATATATTTGACTAATTTTTATAGGATATTCTGGTTTACTTTTAGTTCAGTATCAATCTTTGTCCGATCCAAATGTCAATCCTTAGTCAAATTTGTTATAATTTTTCCAACAGAGATAATCAAAAATTATGAGTCGTTTTTATTACATGATAAAAAATGTATTGTAATGCTGGAAAATGTGAAAAATTCATACAATTTTTTCTTAACATTTGGTGCTATATTGGATGTGACACAGACTATACCAGAATCACTAACCGCAAGACTACTCAACTTGATAGCATTAGATGTTCACTCAAATCAGATCAAAGCTCTTCCAAACTCCATTGGTTGTCTCTCTAAGCTCAAGACTCTCAATGTCTCCGGCAACTTTCTTGTATCCTTCCCCAAATCTATCCAACATTGCAGGTTTGGTTTCACCCCATAACTTTCACAAAACTCTCACAACACCCCTACCAACAAAATCATAATTCCCACTTTTGTATTGGTTCTCTTTTTTTTTTCAGGTCTCTGGAAGAACTAAATGCAAACTTCAACAAACTCATTAGATTACCAGACTCCATTGGCTTTGAACTCACCAATCTAAGGAAGCTCTCTATCAACTCCAACAAGCTAATTAGTCTTCCACTCTCCATTACTCACCTCACGTCTCTTCGAGTCCTTGACGCTCGTCTCAACTGCCTCATGATTCTCCCAGATGATCTCGAGAATCTCATCAACCTCGAGATCCTTAATGTCAGCCAGAATTTCCAGTATCTTTCCGCTCTTCCATCTTCCATTGGCCTTTTAATGAACCTCATTGAGCTCGATGTTAGCTACAACAAGATCACTGTCTTGCCTGAGTCCATTGGCTGCATGAGACGGTTAAGGAAGCTGAGTGTTGAAGGAAACCCGCTCGTGTCCCCGCCCATCGAGGTGATGGAGCAGAATTTGCAGGTGGTGAGAGAGTATCTGACACAAAAGATGAATGGAGGCTCACCAAGGAGTCCCAGCAAAAAGAAGTCGTGGGGATTCGGTAAATTGGTGAAGTATGGGACGTTCAATGGCGGATCAAGAAGCTGGAATAGAGAGGAGAGGGAAGGGTTTATCATGCCTGAGTACCGCGCCATCGACAGTCTTGCTTCGCCTAGGTACTCTGGAATGTTCTCTCCACGCCGTCTCTTTTCTCCAAGAACCTATTTCAGCAGATGAAACAGAGAGGTTTCACATTCCTACAAGCCATGCACACCTCTGTAGCATAGCATCAAGGCCAAAACAATCCAATTTTGTCTATCATTTTAATTATAGCATCATAAAAATGTATACAGAGTATCTCAATATGTTAATCAGATTCTAGAATTCTTGTTTTTTCATTATATATGGTTGCACCAGGTCTCTGTTTCTATGCACACCAAATTTTGTTCATGAATAAAGTTTCTTCTTTCAGACTTCTTCCTGATTCTTTAGACATTAGCAAAAGACTCAAGATTATATAGACAAAGAAAGCAACTCTGAATTTTTTTTATTAAATTACGAAATTTAGACTATATTCTTAAATTTTTGATAGAAATGTTAGACTATTTAATTATCTCACAAAATTTCTTACGTGGCACGTTCTGCCGTTTCAAGAGTAAGAAAACGACACGTAGTTCTCTTTTAGAATGCAAATCCGGCAAGACTTGGTTGCTTTAACGAAAGTATCTATCTCCGCCATCTTTCTTCATTAAAGGAAGCAAAAGAGTTTGATTTCGTCGTCGAGCTTGCGATCTTCAGCTTTTCAGGCGACGTCGTTGTGATTCTAATCGTTCTCCGGTGAAATTGATTTCGGAGGCTATTCGATGGCTTACGTCGACCATGCGTTCTCGATATCGGACGAAGACCTAATGATTGGGACTTCGTACACCGTTAGTAATCGACCACCGGTGAAGGAGATCTCACTCGCGGTAGCTCTACTCGTATTCGGAACCCTAGGAATCGTTTCAGGTTTCTTCATGGCGTATAACCGAGTTGGTGGTGATCGAGGTCACGGTACGAATTACGATTCCTTATTCAATCGAAATTGTTACTAATTTTGCTCTTGTATCTTCGTGATTAGCTTGTTTCAAGACAATTTTGTTAGCTTAGATTGAGGAAATTAGTGACTCTTATTGCTTGTATGTTTTTGATTAATGTTTAGACTTGTTAGTTTCCTGAAGAAACCTAGTTTGGGAGATTTAGGGATATATCTTGAGGATTTGAGGAAACTGCTTAATTAGTGTTGGACTTGGTTTAGGTCTTTGTTTCTAAGTTCTCTGGGGATCAATTAGGAGATGTTAAGTGAAACATTGAGGAACTCTCTCTCAAACAAATCTCTAGAGGCATGAGAGATTTGGTGGCTCTCTCTGATTACTAAGCTTTTCTTCATTTCAGAATGCAAACCCGAAAGAGTCGGATTTGAGTCGAAATTCGAACTAATGATTACTGAAAACTCACTCATTTCTTTTTGTTTTTCCTTGTTTGATTGTTGGTGGTGAAACAGGGATTTTCTTCATTGTACTCGGATGTCTTCTGTTTATCCCGGGGTTTTACTATACACGGATTGCATATTACGCTTACAAAGGATACAAAGGTTTCTCCTTCTCAAATATACCATCCGTTTAAGCCTCTTATGACTCGGTGTCTCTTCTCTCTTCTTACTCAATGTATAGGTTGTTTTCGTTTATATTGCTTTTAAACCAGTGACTTATTCTCTTTAGTGTGATTTTACATGACTTGAATGACCCATGTTTGATATATGTGTATCTCTTTTGGTTTCTCTTTCTCTGTGTTAGATCGTTAGTCTTCGATAACCATCCTTGTAAAATATAGACCAAGCTAATCACATGTGATGTAATTGGTGTGTTTAGTGTATAAGTAGAACGAGGAAATGACCAGAACGGTTTAGTATTGAATACTAGAGGTAATTGACTGCTTTTTGTATAAATCATGAAATTCTAAACAACTAGTTTTAGGTCTTGAATGGGAACATCAATGCGGGAAAATATTGCAGAGATATAGCTAATCAAAGCGGTTTTATGAATGTTTTCTTCAAAAAATATTAATTGTTATTATTTGTTTAAAAGATATTTTTTTCATAGTTAATAGATATGACTGAGGGTAACTTTTTTTATATTTGTATTGAAATTGAAATATTTCTCCTGTTTCAAAATATAGTTTAAGAAATTTATTTTTTTCTTTAAAACTATCATTTAATATTTGATTTTTAAAATTAACCAAATACAAAAAAAACTGCGGAATATAAATAGTCATAAAATATCAAATACATTTAAAATTTGCATTGCAACTTAAAACATCATATATTTTCAATTTTGAAACAAAACAAAATTCTTTAAAACATCATATATTTTGAAACAGAAAGAGTAATACATTTTTATTTCTAACGGAAATATTTTGCGTATTTTTTGAAAATTTTTCCAAAACTAATCTAAGATGTGAAACTTTATGTCGCTTGTTTTCCTTTGAAATCTAAATTAGTGCATATATAATATAGGTTAACGGAGAAAAACATTAAAAAATTTCTTTCAACAAAAAAAACATTAATTTCCTCACACAAAATAGAAACATTTATCTTTACCGAAGAGAATAAGTTTTAAAACAAAGAATAGTATTGTCAATAAGGCTACATGAGTGGAGAGACTGATCACTTGGACACCTCCTATGTTGGCTAGGTTAAGTTAAACATGGATGGAGTATCGCATGGGAATCCGGCTTTAGCAACATGAGGTGGAGATTTGCGGGATAATATTTTTAGAAAGAAAAAAACCTTTTAATAATGTGTCAACGGGTGCTATTTTTGAAAGTTTATTCCATAATTGTCCATAAAACTTGTTAGTGCTATTCACAGAAATCGATATGCCAAACAATTGATGAAATTTTCTTTTGTTTTGTAAAAATGAGATTTCTTACCATATTCATTACTTTTCAAAAGCCAAAATTATTACAGATTATCTTTCTTGATTACTTTTTCTTCTTTTTGGAAAAATTATATTACATTAATTTCATTGGTATAAGTGAAATGCAAAAAAAAATCTATATCAATGAATAATATACACTTTAACCGGATATCATTTTGCTTTAAATTAATAATTTATTTTTGTTTTCTTATTAAAGTAATTAAAAGTATCTAATTATAGTTCATAGATTTGTTCATTTTCTTGTGCATGACTTTTATTATATATAAATATTTAACTTAATCATCTATAAACCAACTAGAAACGATTTAGAAAATATCAAAACATTTTGGATAGTCTTATTATGATCAGTCGAATAATGGCCAATTTAATTGAAATATACATTCTAGTCATACTAGCTATGATAGTCACCGGAAGCGAGTCTTCTGATGCTCGTGATGCTGAAATAAATCGACTCTTGAAGAAACTCAACAAACCTTTTCTTAAATCTATCAAGGTCTATTTAATTTGTGGATTAATTACACAAAAATACACTTAACAACATTATTTTGTTTTTAATTTTCGATTGCTCTTAGCCTCTTACCTCTTAGTAGTTGTGTATGTTTTGTGATTCTTAAAATAGAGTCCAGATGGAGATATCATAGATTGTGTTCATACGAAAAATCATCCAATTTATGATCATCCTTTATTCAAAAACCACACCATTCAGGTTCAGATTTTTTTTATCAATATTATTTTAATGTACAATGTTATTATGCATTTTGTTTATGGTTTAATCATAATTTATTCAAAAATTACACCATTCATTGAATCTTTATCATAAGTTGTACCAGACCAAAACTTGATGATACTAGCACAAAAAATAACGAACCCGTTGAAAATGGTTTAACTAAATACATTTGGCTTTGTCATTTTTATTTAATCTATTACTTTTTTTTTTGTCAAACTTTAAATCTAACAATTTTGTGTTGTAGATGAGACCAACTTCTTACCCAGAAGGATGGAGCAATAAAGATTCAGATAATGAAAAACACAATATGGTTCATCAACTTTGGACAATCAATGGTAAATGTCCAAAAAATAGTATTCCGATCAGAAGAACGAGAAAAGAAGATATTTTACGAGCAAAATCCATTGAAAGGTTTGGAAAAAAAGATCCCAACAATATCCATCAACATAAACCAACCAATCCGAGTAACGACGGTGTACATGAGGTGCATATATCATTCATTAAGTATTTTAAATGCCATCATTTTTCTTATTATGAGTATATATGTTTTTATAGTTCTTACATATTTATATACATATACAGTATGCCATACTTAAAGTGGAAGTAAATTCTCCTCGAGCTATGTTTCATGGAACCCAAACGTTTATAAATGTGTGGAAGCCTTATGTACAACATACAAAAGAATTTAGCTTAGCACAAATATGGATGTCGGCTGGAAGTTATAGTACTCAACTTGAAACCATTGAAGCTGGTTGGCAGGTTTTAGTTTTTTCTTGCAATTGCATGTTTATATATATATATATATATAAATATATATTCTAATCTTCTTCTTTTATTCATTTTTTTTTGTTATTGATTAGGTGTTGACTGCACTTTATAATGATACTAACCCTCGATACTTTGTGTACTGGACTGTGAGTTAACTTCCACCGTATTGTTGAATTTTCTTTCTTTTTTGTTTTCATTTTTTGGTTGACAAAAAATCACGTAACTTTTTTTTTTGTTATGTGTACTGTTTGATTACATGAAAACAGAATGATTCATATATACAACATGGTTGCTATAATAATATTTGCCCCGGCTTTGTTGTTGTCAACCAAGCATTTGCTCTAGGCGCGGCCGTTCCTGAAGTTTCTATCCGTGATGGTCTACAATACGAAATTTTCACAAGTATATGGAAGGTAAAAATAATACATGCTCTTTTTCATCATATAATTTCAATCTGAAATTGAATATGTTATATTATTATAGGACCGTAGTTCAGGAAATTGGTGGTTGAGATTTGGTACTCATGTAATTGTTGGGTATTGGCCTTCTTCATTGTTCAATCGTTTACGAATTGGTGCGACAGAAGTTGAATGGGGAGGCGAAATAGTAAATTTAAAGGAGAACAACCAACACACGTCAACACAAATGGGAAGTGGGTCATTTGCAATAAATGGATATAGAAAGGCTAGTTATTTTAGGAATATTTTCGTAACTGATGAAAATAATATTACGAAGCAACCTGTAGGTTCTTCTACATTTGTGTCGGAAGAAAGTTGTTATGACATAAGGTATCGCACTGAACAAGCCTGGGGAAGTTTCTTTTACTATGGTGGTCCTGGTCGAAGTCCTTTTTGTGAATGATTATATATGTAAGAATATTGTGTATGAATCTATTTATGTCAGTTAGCACCATCATATAGTATATATGTGGTGGTGAAAATAAAGTTTAAGATATAATTATAGTTTTGGGACTATAAATAGTGTAAGCCAAATTCATCAAGAGAGTTAAAAATAAAGTTTAATGGATGGAGTATTTTAGTAGATGTAAAAATCCAAACAACATATGATTAGAAATTCATATTCAAATTAGTGCATAAAAAAAAGTTGTACTATATGATTAGAAATTCATATTCAAATTAGTGCTCGAGGATTTTATATTATTGTCTCTGTTGTAAATCCATATACCAGAAATTCATATTCTTGTCTAAACTCTAAAGTGTTGTCTCATTTAACAAAGAGAAATTTTCCAAATCAAAACGACGCCATTTGGTTGTTATAAAATAACAAACCATGTCGTTCTCGAGTTTGTGAAACAACACGTAGTTATAAAATTCATCAATTTGGAAAAAGGGTTTCAAAACTCTAGGCGGTCTCCAATTGCAAGAATTTTGGATCCAATGGTGTGGTTTCAGTGCGAAGATTGTGGCGAGAGTCTGAAGAAGCCAAGGCTCTCGAAGCACTTGCGTATGTGCACTGCCACCAAGGTACACTAAAATTGAAACTCTCTCATGATTCTCTTCTTCTCTTAATCTCTCTTTGATGATTATCTTCGAATCTTCACAGTTTTCTTGCATTGACTGTGGAAACATGTTTGGGCAAGATAGTGTTTACTATCATAATCAATGCATCACCGAGGCTGTAAGTATTTTTTTTGCCAATTTCTATCAATTTGATGCTAATCCCTAATGGTTTTAAGTTTTTTTAGGTTTAGTTTTGTATCTGAAGAATTATTTAGTATCTTGAATGTTTTTTTTTTTTTCTGGTAAATAGGAGAAATATGGTCCAAAGGGGCTATCTAATGGCGAAAATTCGAAACAAAAGCACGATTTCGATATAAATACCGAGTCATACAAGAGTCCTTCATGGTTTTGTAGGTACTTTACGCATCTTTAGACTTCCTTCCATTGTCATTAGATAGCTTGTCTTGTTTGTGTGTGTTCTCTTGTGGTGAGGTTTTATGAGGACATGACTTGAATATTGTGTTATCTATTTGCAGCTTATGTAATGCAAATATGACCTGCGAGCAGGATTATTTTGCCCATGTCTATGGAAAGAAACACCAAGAGAAAGCAAATGAGGTTGCTGATATGGACTACTCAAAACAACAATCTGAACAACCACCAGTTGACAAGAACAACTTAAAACAACAACCCGACTTAGATATATATGTCGGGTTATCAAACCACTATCCATGGTTCTGTAGGTAGGTAATTTATATTGTTTAGGAAATCTTATCTATCTTTTTTTGGGTAAAACTAGTTCAAAATGTATTGTTGTTTGTGTGTTCTCTTGTGGTGAGATTTTATGAAGACATGCATTAAATATGATTTATTTCGTTCCAGCTTGTGTAACATAATGGCTACCAGCCAGCAGACTTTGTTATCACATGCCAATGGGAAGAAACACCGAGCGAACGTCGAATGGTTTGATGCTGAACAACAGCAACGACAAGTAACACAACATTCCACGATGGACAACTCAAAACAACAGATCGAAGTCGATATAAATGTTGGGTTATCCAATTGTTATCCATGGTTTTGTAGGTAATCTCTTCACATATTTCACCTTTCCACTGCCATTTTCTATATCACGTTAGAAAAATGTATTTCACCTGAGTAAGTTAGTTGTGATTAGGATAATTCTAAGTAGGATATGCATCAGCTATTGAGTAGAGTCGTGTATATGGTTGCTTTTCGATCATTTATATGGTTTCATGGATTTCTCTTTGATAGTGTATTGTAATATATAGAGATGATTTCTGTGTTCGTTCTTAATAGTGCTCTTTGGGTGAGATTTCAAGAGTTAATGCTTTGAATATATCTATTTGGTTCCAGCTTGTGTAACGTGAAGGCTACATGCCAGCAGAATTTGCTATCCCATGCCAATGGCAGAAAACACCGAGAAAATATCGAATTGTTTGATGCTACACAACAACAACAGTTAGAAAAATCCACAGTGGATAACAAGGATACAATTGAAAATGCTTCTGATGGTGATTCCGAACAGAAGAGAGTAGATTTGCTTGTCTCATCAGGTGTTGCAAATGGATATCCTCAGGCCGACAAAAAGAGAAAGCGAGAGACTTTCGATGAAACATGGAACAGGGAGGTAGTTCAGGCCGAAGAAGCTGAAGGAGGGGGTGAGAAAAAGCAAGAGAGTAAGAAGAAGGGAAAGAAGGAAAAGAAGGAAAAGAAGCAGACTATGTTAGACTCTGATTTCGAGTATGACAAGGAAGATATCAAGCAGCTGTTGGTATCTTACTCGAAGGAAGGGCTTGTTAACCTCATATACAAGACTGCTGAGAAGGGTTCTCGATTGATCTCTGCCATCCTTGAATCGGCTGACCGTGACATCGCTCAGCGCAATATATTTGTGCGTGGCTTTGGATGGGACACAACGCATGAGAACCTCAAGGCAGCGTTTGAGACTTATGGGGAGATAGAGGATTGCTCGGTGGTCATGGACAAAGACACGGGAAGAGGTAAAGGGTATGGGTTTGTGCTGTTCAAGACGCGGAAAGGAGCGAGAGAGGCATTGAAAAGACCGGAGAAGAGGATGTACAACCGCATCGTGGTATGTAATCTAGCATCAAAGAAGCCGTCTGGGGCTGGAAAGGAGCAGGATATGGTTGAACCGGTGAAGATTGATCTAACTCAGATGGCCAATCAAAGTGAAGCAGTCTTGCCCGGTCCCGAACTGGGTCACGGACATGTACTCAAGAAGATGCACCACCAACAACAGACTATAGACATGTTCGGGCAGAACATTCCTTTTTACGGACACTCTCATCAGTTTCCTGGTTTTGATCCAATGTATGGTGCTTTAAGTGGTCTACCAAACTATGGTATGTTTGGCTCGGGTATGATGATGAACCAAGGATCGATGTTGCAGCCACCACCGAATCATTTAGGCATGGCAGGGCAATATTTTGGTGATGGGGGACATGCTTGGCATCAGAGGTAGCTGAGATCATTTGGTAAGGCTGTTATCTCTGATATATTAATCAGACTTTCAATTTTCGGTTAGGCTAATTAATCTGACCAGAAAAGCTAAGTTCCGGTTTCGAGTTGTGTGAATATATACCAAACTAAACCAGCTTTTTGGAATTTATTCTGGTTTACTCGGTTTTATTCGGTTTATACTAAAAGCTAAATGCCTTGATGATAAAAACTAAGAAACCTTGTCGTTTTTAGTGTTCCAAAACAGCGCGTTGTCTGACACTTGAATAAACAAACTCTACATTTAATTAGTTCTTCTGGAAGGCTTTTAAAACCCTAGCTGGTACCAATCTTAAACCCATCTCCGATTCACGTTTGCAGAATTTTTTTTATTTCTGCTTGAACTTTTTTTTCCCCAAATCTCAATTTCGATAATCGGAAAACGAAAACGATGGTTTGGTTTCAATGCGAAGACTGTGGAGAGAGTCTGAAGAAGCCAAAGCTCCCGACTCACTTCAAGATGTGCAGAGCCAACAAGGTCTCACCTTTAAAATTTCTTTTGGTCTTCATTGTTTTTGCTCTTATGGTAAAATCAAAACTTTATGATGATTGTTGTGTTAAATCTCTCTTTCGTTTGTTTGTGTCAATCAATAGTTATCGTGCATCGATTGTGGAGAAATGTTTGGGAAAGATACTGTGCAAGGACATACCCAGTGTATTACTGAAGCTGTAAGTGATTTACCCATTTCTTGGAACAAATTGGGTTAAGTTTTAGATTTTTGGCTATGTCTTGGATTTGAGAGATTGAATAATTGTTGTGTGTTGAATGTTTTTAGGAGAAGTATGGTCCAAAAGGGCAGTCAAAGTCATCTAATGGCACACCTGCAAAGCCAAAGGATAACTCTAAGCAACAGCCTGACTTCGATATTACTGTCGGCTTATCGAACCGATATCCATGGTTTTGTAGGTATATGCACATCTTTCAACCTTTCCTTTCATTTTCCGCTTTAGATATGAGTGCATAATGTATTGAGGTTGGTCGACATTGTTCAGGAGTATAAGAAAGCCGGTTGTATCGATGTTTCTTTGGATTGATTATGCTAATGTAGACTTTTGTTTTAGAATGTATTGTTGTTTTTGTGTGTGTTATCTTGTGGTGAGATTTTTGAGGACATGGTTTTGAGTATATTTATCTATTTTGGTTGCAGTATATGTTACACAAAGGCTACTAGCCAGCAGACTTTGCTTGCCCATGCGGATGGGAAGAAGCACCGAGGAAAAGCAAAAGCCTTCCATGCTAGACAACAGCAACAGTCTGAACCATCCGCAGTGGATACGAAGGATGGAAGCGAAAACGCGTTTAATGGTGATTCAGAACAGAAGAAAGTAGATTTACCTGTCTCCTCAAGTGTTGCGAATGGAGAATCGCATGCTGAGAAAAAGAGAAAGCTAGAGACTTTGGATGAAACGAGTAAAGGTGAGGTACCTCAAGCCGAAGAAGCAAAAGGAAGTGATCTAAAGAAAGCTAAGAAGCAGGACCATGAGAAGAAAATCAATTGGAAGAAGTTGATCACATCGGCTTTGAAGTCTGTACGTATCTATCAACTCACTGAATTTCGGTTTCAATTTTAACTTCTTTCTTGCAATGTGACTACATAATGTAACAAATCTATGAATTTGTATTGATACAGAACGAAGATAAAACTTTGAAGATGAAGAAACTGAAGAAGCTCGTTCTGGAATCTATTGTGGATTCAGGCATAACTCGAGAAAAATCTGAGCTTAAGGCAGAGCTAGAGCTAAAGGTTAGACATTTCTCATCTCTCTAATTAATGTACAACAATCTGTTCCGCTGTAGAGAGATCTTCACAATAGAGTCTTGTTGTTTTTCTACAATCTTACAGGTGAATTCGAGCTCCAGATTCACGGTTGATGGGAAGTATGTGAAACTTGTGGCTAAAGAATGAATCTAATTCTTGAGTCAAGCAACAGTATCATGTCCCTCCGACTGAAATTAGATTTTGCGCATGTCACAGTTTTGGCATATGATTCATTACTATTACTGTCTGTACTCTGTACCAAATTTGGAATTTTGGAATCTCATTAAACTATTATTCGTGACAACTTTATTAATGTGCCTCAGGTGACATAGTTATTATCATCGACTAAGAGAAAAAAAAGAGAAAAATGAAACAACATTGGTTTTGTGTTGGTGACGGCGTTTGTCTCTTCCCAACTGGTCCCTTGAGCATGCGGTTTACTGAAAATATCTAAGCGATTAGCAAATCAAGTTGAAGAAAGAAAGCAATTTCCTTCGCATATTTCTATTTCCTTTAGATGTTACTTTTTTATGTGGAGCTTCGATTGGTTTTTGTCAACAGAATTGAACTGGATTATTCGGATTTCTAATTTTCTTTTACCCATTTCGAAAGATCTCAATTAGAATATTTTGGGCTTATTGGGCTTTAGTTGGATCTCTTACATTCAAAGAGTGAGAAACAGATCATGGTACATTAAAGTCTAGAATCAAGCAAAGTGTTAAGAACAACTTAAAACTAAAATCTTATATACAAATAATAAAGCAAATGTATAAGATACCAAAACAAATCCGCTTATCTTTATTAAACTAAGAGATAACAAAAAACCAAAGGATCTTCAATAACCAAACTCAAACACTTTAAGCTTTAAACAAATGAAGGATGAAACTAAAATGTAGGTCTCAGTTATGAAATATTTTTTTTGTTAGAGATTTCTATATCTTTAACCTGTTAACGTGCCAAAGGATCAATCTTTCAACAAGGAAGTCGTCAGTTTATGATAGACATACGGAAAATGGGGACACTTCGTCGAAAATGGAGAGTTGGGAGACTTGGACGTTCCTTGTCGTAAGGATCACGTGTCGAAAGCCATCTATACGGATGCCAAAGATCAGCTTTTCGGTGGTCTATATGGTTACAATAAGATCACCGGTTGAAGATGTTGATGATGGAATCAAGAATGGTCACTTTGTTTCCGTAACGATGACGTTTGGCCAGGATATGATTGTCCTTCAAAATGTGGTCTCTTCGATCTTGCCACAAGTAGTAAGATCACATGGCCTAACTCGGTGTTAATACACTTACAAGTCGACAATGGTTTCTTCCACGATTAACTTAGTCTTTTTATTTGATTGAAGTATACACTCCTTTACCAATTTTTAATAAAATTTACGTTGACAAAAAGAGAAGAATTCAAAATCAATATCAATCATCCAATCTTATGGTATCAGAAAGATCAAAGCAAACTCTTCCTTTTTTTATCTCTAAACTTGAACTCATCTTTACCTTTACAAATATTCAACAAAGGTTACGAGAAACACACACATACCATAATATCATGATTCATGATGGTAAAGATTGTATATAGTGACCTGATAATGGAGGGAGAAACTGAATTTTATTAAGGAACATAAAAATGTATGTACAGAGAGGTAATGGTCCTGAGGTTATGAAAACTACAAAAACAAAACCCAAAGATGAAAGAAGAAGAAGAGCCTCCACTTATATGTATACATATATCACTACAACATCACCATCATCACTCCTTTTTCCTTTCTTTCTTTCTGCCACAACAGCTTGTTACAGCCTGAAGTTAACTATCAACCGAGTTTACCCACCGGATCCAAATCCAGCATCCATCACGAAAGTAAAAAGAGATTCACCCGAGAAATCGGAGTTATAAGAAGACGAAAAAGAAGCCTAAGAAGAAGAAGGAGAAGATGATGAAGAAAAGAATCTATATGACCTAATTTTCTGGCGCTAACATCCGAATAACCCATTTCCTGTATTGGTTATTCGCCCAAGGAAGCAAAACTTTTCTTTTACCTTACGCTCTTTTTGTCAACTAGTATAACCAACAAGACTATACAGATATAGATAGAGTGAGAGGGAGTGGTGACCTCATAACTTTATGTTCAGCCCTGAGAGATCATCCATTGGTATCCCAAGCTCCGTGATATCGAAATCTTCTTCGTCGTCCATGTTAAACCATGAACTAATATCACCTGGTTGCGTATCAAAATCTCCTAAGCCATCTGGTATTTGTAACTGAGATAAATCGAGAATTGGCTCAGTCTCCTCCAGTGCCTCCAAGTTATTATACTCGCTGTTTGCTTCATTCGGTTTGGTAACGATGGTTTGGGTTGCTCCGGGACCCTAACAGATGGAGATATCTGAGTTGTTTTCTGCTTCGGTTTTGCTTTCGTTTTTCTTTCACCCTTAGCATTGGACAGGGAAGGCCGGCCGATCTTATTGGTTCCGCCTCTAGATGAAGCCTGCCCTTTCCCATCTCTGTCCCTGTCACTTCTCTTCCCCTTTGTATTACTTGAGAGTTGTGTCCCAATACCAACATCATCAAGCAGCAACTCTCTCTTCTTGACCCTATTGGACCATGCTGTATCTTCTTTCCCCATCGTTTGTTCTAGTAAAGCATTTTCAGATGGTAGAACATCAGAAGAACTGGCATAGTTCTCCGAGTTCTGCCCAATGCGTGCCAACGAAGAGCTTGGCTGTGAGCCCATGGGTGCTGTAAGGGAAAGAAAGAGAGATACAAATTAGTGAAGAGGATATCGATTTAAAAGAGAATTCGTTATTTTATATAGGCAATAGATCGTACTTGAAGTTGATGGATTATACTCCTTGTCTATGAGAGTATCCTCGGCTGTTGCCAACCCGGCAATGAACATATCCTTAAATTCAGGCTCACTGAAGCAGCTTCTCCCCGTCTTTTCGAATTGATGGCATCGTTCAAGCGTCCTTCTAACAAAAGCCAATGCAGCCTGCTTTGAAATCTTGTTATTGGAATTCTTTCCACCAGCGTTGTGATGACGCCGACTTGCCTGTTAAAGAAGGAAACAGAGTTATCAACTAATAACTAAGTATAAATTGGCAGTGCCAGGGAAGCAAAGCAAAATTGAAAACGAGCCAACTTTACAATCAATTTACCTTGCTCTTTTCATATGCCATCTCGATGAGCTTTTCATAACCAAGTTGATCAAGCTCCCTATGGAAAGAATAAAAAAACACAGATGAAAAACCGTCAGAGCATAATTCAGATCCACAATGGCGTGCCCAAAAAGCAGAGTAAGGGAAAATTCATACTTCTCCTGAAGTTCTTTCATCTCTATGGCAGGCTTTAGTAGCCTATCCACAATCTCTTTCTTCTTGGAACCCTGAAAAAAATAACATAGAGACCATCAAATGGTGTTTTTCTCTAGAAAAGTAAACATGGGACACAAAAATATTACTTTTGTCCTTTTACAAGGATTTCTTAAGAAACATCAGAATCCCCCTAATTACTTAATAACTCGCAATGGAGACAAGAAAACCATAATGAATCAACAAATACAATATTTGATGAAATAAACACCTCGTTGCAGATAGCCTCCTCCAACTTTTTAATTTCGTCCGCAATTCCTTCATCCTCCACGTTTGAGATACTAGGCTGTAAGAAAAACACAAGAAGAATAACAAACTTCAGTAAGAGCCAAAAGTACATAGCAGTAATAGGTTTCTAAATAACTAAGATACTAGACTGTATACCATTGGTTCTAAGGATATTCCAAGAGACTGGACTTCCAGATAAATCTTTTCATCTATCCCCAATTTATCATATTGAATGTCCAAGAAGTCAACGGGTGAAGTATCTGGAAATTTGCCATTGCAGTGGTGGGCTGACTTATTAACACCCTTGAACAAAATCGCAGATCCATCATCTTCTGATTCATCAAGTTCCAGCCTTTCACTGTTTCTAAACCCATTGAACTCCATATTATTCAGAACACTGAATTCTGAGTCATCGTCATGCATAGCCCCAAATCCATCAACTTGTAAATCTTCATTTACACCCATCGAGTCCTCAGAAATCAAAGCTGATAGCAATCTCTGGTACAGTGGAGAAGCCTTGGAATCCGCCCTGCTAGTTGCAAGTTCCTCAGGAAACACACGGCTATCAAACTCAGAGGATGTCAAAATGGGCGTAGGACCCATGGAGGAGAGTTCTCCCTGAAAGAGAGAGGAAAAAAACATTACACCATTGACTATCTAAAATGTGTTGAAGTTGACATGATTAGCTTCCGTAGCACTGCAAATATTGCTGTCAAATCACATATGATAACAGTTTCAACAGACACTTGACACCATTATTCTACTTCTTTGGGATTTTCTCCTTTCCCTTTACATTTACAAAAGTGGGGTGCAGATAGATACCTAGGGAACAGTTTGTAGTGAATTTACTGGTTCTCTTATCCAACTATAAATCCAAACACTATTTTTCCTTGAACCACATTCCCAAGTGACAGATACTCTTGCCTACTTGTTTTTTGTTTTTCTGGGCTAAGTCTAGTTGATTAGGAATGTGCTACAAGGAAAATTAGGGTTTTGGATTTATAGTTGGATAAGAGAATCAGTAAACTCAGGAGATCGGGTGTGAATATTTATTACCAAACAAAAATATATCTGTCAAATCCTCACTATGAGATCTGAAAATGAAGTAAAGGTATCACCTGTTGTTTCATGAAATTGATATGATCATCAGATATATAGCAAAAGTAGCGCTCCATTTGCTTCCAGAAAGAGTTGGGAAAATTCTGAGCTGCATCAATAACAAGACAATTAATCCAGAAACAAAAGTTGGGTATAAATCATAAGAGTGGCCAAGGAAAAAAATCTTTTACCAAAATTTACAGCTGAGTTGACAGCTGCCAGTAGCTCCTCACGGCCATCATTTGAACCAACTAAGAAAGGTAACAAATCCATGAAATAAAGGAATAAATCAATTAAAAAAATTCAATCCAAAAGAGCAATTCTTATTAAACTGAACTTGTTTTACCATGAAAATCTAGTGTTGGAGCATTTGTTGCGGTAGCTCTCTGACGTTTGTAGGCCTTACGATCAGATAGTTTCCTAGTGGGTGGACGACCCACCTTACTGCACAGAACTCATGAAAAAATCTATGAGATAAACACAATGGATTCCAACAAATTTTAATCATACAGGAGAGAAAATACAAGAGTACGTGGAAAATAAGAATGATCTCTACCTTTCACTCTTGTCAAAAATAGGTCTTGCACTGCGAAGATGTTTC